AATTAAATCATTTTTGTATAAAAAAAAGATCGAGAGAGTCTTTTCCAAAATTCTTACTATATTTCATTAATCTGGCAAACCAGAATATGCACAAAAAAAATGAGAATGTGCTAGACTCTGATGAACTTCTGAGGCGTTAATTTGATGTGGTAACATGGAATTAAAACGAAAGCACGTAGTTACTAGTGATGTCATACGTGCAAGTTTGTTTAATGAAAACATTATATTACAAGCCAAACACAAATCAAGACTAGCATTGTTACCATATCCTATGTACCCGTCAACTTTCCAGTGAACATATCATTTTCGTTTCTTGAAAATCATAAGTACCCCCTCTCCAAGAGCCCTACCCAATCCCTCTTTTCTTTTCTCTCCCATAACCTCACACTTTACATATAGTACGTTCTCAGTCTTCACCAATGCACTACCCTCTACTCCTTCTCTAACTCCGTGGTAAAGCAAATACATTACATACCCATTTTCTTCAGCTTTCGATCTAAGCTCTAGCTCCTCTAGTCTCTTTATTATTTCTTATTGTATGATCATGGCTTCTAGTTCTGCTCTAAGCTTAGCCTTTGGAATCATAGGTAAATGTTTTTCACGAGTTTCAAATTTGTTTTATTAAACAAGTATTCCAAGAGCATGCCTAGAAAAAGAACACAGGGTTTTTGATTCTCATTCTCCCTCTCTCGTATATGTTAATATTTTAGGGCATCTTTTTTCAATGAGTAAACTTTAAAACACGGTCCCTTCCCTTTCATAGAGTTGTCTAGACACTTTTCATATGATTGTGAATATACCAACTAACAATAACACTCAAGTTTTGTGCTCTGTTTAATAATTTTTTACTGTACAATTTTCATCTTTTGTAGTTTGTGCCATTTACTAACCAGTTCTTTCTTTTAATTCTTCATTGGTTTCTACTATACAGGAGATATCATTGTGTTCTTCCTCTTTGTACCTCAGGGGTAAGAACTGCATGTCAATACGATTCCTCCTTTTCTATTTTGTTTTTTTCCCCCTTGATTTTGTTTTATTCAAAAAATGTATTACATAATCATCTTTATGGTAGGGTGACGATCAAACAGATATGGAAAAACAAATCGGTGGGAGAGTTCCCGGAAGCATCCTATTTGCCAGAATTTACCAGTTGCGCGTTCGATGTTCTCTACGGTGTCCCGTGGGTGCAACCAGATAGTTATCCTCTTCTGGCCATCAACAGGTTGAGCTTCATTTTGGAGATAATCTATCTTATAATATTTTTTATTTTTTGCAATAAAAAACTTAGGGTAGGTTTACTCTCTGGACTAGCACTCGTTAGTGTGACTTTGGTGGCTACACTAGTTCTGGTTTTAGAGCACAAAACTCACGAGAGGGCCAAGATTGTTGGCCCTTTTATTTGGTGGGAAACATCCTCCTGTATGCAGCTCCGTTGTGGGCTTTGGTAAGTTTTTTGAGTATTTTAGTTTGGTAATAAAGAAGATTGTAATTATTTTTCTATTGTTTATTAATAGCCTAGGTTGAGAAATTGATATTAATACACATAAAAAAGAAAATGATAAATGTATTATAAAATAAATATAAACTATAGAAGAAGAACTATGAGAGAGAGAAAGAAAAGATTCAGGTGCATCTTATTCAATAGGAATTGGCCTCTATTTATAAATAAGTAGATGCAGAGATAAGATCAACGAATATGAGTTTTAACTAAATATTATCTGTATACATGAAATCCTAATATAACTCTTCTATCTTATGGACATCCACATTATTAATATATTTATAACAAAATGAAAGTTATTTTAGTTTATTATTATTAATTTCTTTTTCTTTTTGCATAAACAAGTTAGAAAGGATGCAAGTGTAGAATTCCTGTCTTTTTGGCCATCTCTGGCGACTTTTGTGAATATTATTTTCAGGACCATCTATGGTTCTATCAGGAAAGAGATGTATGTCATTTTAAGTTGTTTTCTTCCTTTTTTTTTTACTAAGATCATTGTAAGTTTTAGTTTCTTTGCAATGAATAAACTATTTCAATTTCATTGTATTATTAAGTTTTAAAATTGGTGCAGATTTCAAGTGGATTGGGTTTAGTTTTTGGACTGATCCAGCTAGGATTTACTGGTGGTACAAGCCCACTCTATCAAAATCTGAAAACCAACCATCAACAAACTAATCAACAGGGCTAGGAACCTAGAAAGTCTACCATCACAAAGTGGAAAGTGGAAAGAGGAAACCCACCCCTACTATCACCTATATAGCCTATGTTGTTGTTGTTGGGCTTTAAAAAATGTAGTTCCAACTTCGAAGGATTTGTAGGTTACTTTGTTTCTTACTTTGTGGGAGAATTGTCAATTGATCGTACTCTCAAGGTTTCCAGTCATTTTGTGTCATGGGATCTAAAAACTGAATCCTGTTCTAGGAGTTATTATATCGTACATCCCAGTTCATAATACTTAGTGAACTGGTTTATTATTTATACACGCTTATACAAGTTTGGGTCTTATCTCTCTCTTATCTAGGGATGTTCACGGTTTGGTTCAAACCGGTGGAACCGCCCAATCCGGTCATCGGTTCGGTTTAACGGGCGGATTTTAATTGTATTTTGAAATCGGCGGATTGAAAAATAAAAAACCGGTTATACCGGTCCAGATTACGGATTGGCACTTTCAAACCGTTTGTCAAACCGGACCGGACCGTATAAATATATATATATATATTAATAATATAATTGTTTTTGTATATATAGAGCCGGATGATGACTTGTATTAAAAATATTAAGTTGGCTCATTGGTATTGTTATTACTCCTACTTTTACATATGTTGGAGGTCGCGTGTTCGAGTCCCCCCATTCACAAATTCTTTTTTTCCTCCCATTTTCCCCCAAATAGGCCGAAAAAATGCCCAAACAAATTCATGAAAAACCCTCAAAAAAGGCCGAAAAAAATTCACATAACAAAAAGAAGTTTAATTTTTGGCCCAAAATGGAAAAGTCCAATTAGAAGTCCAAACCGCCAATCCGCCCAAACCAAACCATTCAAAACGGATTGGATTGGTCCGGTTTATACATCAATTCGGTCCGGTTACGATTTCAAAAATTTTAAAACCGTAATGAACGGTTTGGTTACGGATTACGGCTAATCCGGACCAATCCGGACCGTGAACACCCCTACTCTTATCTATTCAATGACATTTCTTTTATTTATTCAAAATCATAACTAATCAAATTAAAGTAAACTACAATTCAAATTCTATCCAAATTTTACGGTAACAAAAATACAATCCTAATAAGAAACAAATTCAATTAAAATTAGAGTCATATAAAAATAAAATTACACACAACCACACAAAAACACGTAATAAATTGTAAATAAATAGTACAAAGGTAATGTTCATTACTTAAAGTGTAAGTATGCAAAATAAAACATATTAAATTTCATAATAGTCATATTAAAAATTCATGATAATTTTGTGTTGAATACAATAAAAATTCATGGCAATATTTATAAAGTATCATGATTAATGATGTCAATAATCATGAAACTAATGTACAATATTCGTAACAAATATACACAATTTTCATACATTATAATAAAATACTATACAATATTCATATGTCACAAGTGTCATATTCATAATAAATATGCAAAATATTAATACATTCATAGTAAAATAATACTATTTTTCTTTTAATATGTTCAAACTTATATAAAGAAAAAATTCATGAATGCTAAATGCGCTTTTCATGATATAGAAATCTAAAATTCATAACTAATAACAAATTGTAGTAATAATAAAATAATGTTCATGATCATATTATATATGTTAAATTCATAAAAATTTTGGATAATCTTCATAATTACATTCACGACTTATAATATGTTCATGACCATATTATGCAACATTAATGGTAAATATAGTCTATATTCATACATCGCAAATGTCATGTTCATGAAAAGTTCGCATCATATTCATACATAGCAATAAAATAAAAACACGAACTAGACTTGAGTGTCTAACATAATAAATTATATAAACCCATTTTTTTTAAAAAAAAGTTCATGAATGATGCTAACTAGATGTTCAAACCGTAGATGTACAGATTGGGTTTGACAGTTCTGAAAGTCTTGGAAGCAGCCAACATGACCGTAATTGAAATCTAGGATCACAATCGGTAGTTTTAAAAATACCCGGCATCACAAGAGTAACACCTGCCATCATCTTCAATGCATATCAATTGAAGTTGTGAAAAAATCATCTTCAATCGAAATTATTCTATGACTCACAAGATTTAGTGTGAAAGAATGATACTTTGCATCGTATTTTCATGTTTTCTTTATTTTATACATGAAAAGTTGTTAATTGTACTGCTAAAATGAAGGTGGATAAATTTTCTATTTTGATTTGTATACATGATAAAATTAGTGATAAAATTCTGGAAAAAATTAGAGAAAAAATTATTAATTTGATGCGCGTGATTAAAATTATAAAAATTAAGCAAAGCTTACTTTTTTTTTTTTGCGTGTGTGACAACTTTTAAAACCAGTTCACTATCTATTATGAACCTGGTTTACAGTATAATTGCCCTGTTCTAGTTCGTAGTGTTAATGTTATGTTAGTACGGTATTATCAGAACTATTTAAATTTTCTTCCATTTATTTTCGCTATGTGTCCTAAGTATTGGAACTCTTCAAATTTTCTTCCCTTTTATTTTGCCTATATTATATAGCTAAAAAGTAAGATCATTCAATTCGTCTAATTTGTGGTCTTTTTAAGGACGCTCGTATCAAAGTACAAATGTACAAGGGTTATTTCATAAAAACCCAAAAGTGGTTAAAAGCAATAACTTGACAAATTGTCCTACTTATATGAGTTCGGAAATGCGGTGCTAATATTACAAGCAGCCGAAAATACAGTTGTCGACGTAATCTATATGAACTCCATCGTGACACTTAAGAATCTAACCCGAATTCAGCATTGATTCACCGGCGGAGAAAGAAATGGAGACCAAAAAGTACCAAGAATTCACGGGTCAACCAAGACTGCCGGAATTCGCAGTCCCCAGACGTTACGATCTTTATCTGAAACCCGACCTCGATGCATGCAAGTTCTCCGGCGCCGTCCAAATCACCGTCGACGTCGTTTCCGCCACCAAGTACCTCGTCCTCAATGCCGCTGAACTCTCCGTTGACTCCAAGTCCGTTCACTTTAAAACCCCGACAAAGGTGAGTCCTGATACGCCTTGTGATTTTCGATTGATTGAGTTCTTAGTTATTTCATGGAATGATGTGATTTATTTTTATTTTTATTTTTGTCATCCTTTGCATCACCCGATGATTTTTTTTTTATTTATTGTTGTAGGTTATGGAGGCGGCGGCGGTGGAAATGTGTGAAGAGGACGAGATAGCGGTGATAGAGTTCGTGGAGAGTTTACCTGTTGGGGAAGGAGTTTTGAGTATGTCCTTTGAAGGAACTTTAAACGATCAGATGAATGGCTTTTACAGAAGGTATATATTCGATTCTCCTTTTTAAGTTTCGATCTTTTTCACGGATTGTGCGTCTGAGTTTGGTTCTCTTTAAATAGCAGTTTGCGACAGTACTCTGAATGGAAATGGATTGGCAGTTGTTAAAGTTGGTAGCTTAAAAACAGTACTTATTTGATTTGATTTTTCTTTTACTCGGAAAGTTTTAAATATTGACTAGATTGGTTCTCTGTGGCATTTTGAAACTAGTTTTAAATGCAGCATTGTTCCGAGGTTAGTTATCACATGCATGTGGAAAAGTTTCAAAGATGATAGCAAAACCAGATGAGACATTTTTGCATTGCTCCATTGTTGAAAATTTAGCTACTGTTTAATGTCCTTTGCTGTCTCGGGTAGTATGTGAATAGAAAGGTTGGAGTTCTTGTTAGCTTTCCTTATTAACAGATTGTCTAAAAGGTTTGAATTAATTCTTACGCGCGCTTTATCTTTGGATCACATTCCAGTTCTAATATATTTTGTGATTCAGTGTTGACGAACATAATGGGGTGAAGAAAAACATGGCTGTAACACAGTTTGAACCAGCAAATGCAAGGCGGTGCTTTCCATGCTGGGATGAACCAGCTTGTAAGGTACTCTCTCGTTTTATCCTTTCCGACTGTGCTCCTTGTTTGATATGGGAATATCTCATTAGTCACGTCAGAATGATGGAAGGACTACCACGATTAACAATGTGGAATACCCCACTCTTCCCTGTTGCAATTCAAATGTTTTGTCATCATGATACAATTCTACTTCATGAGCTTCACACTCCATTGACTTAAAATGAATCAGTACACAAGTTATTTCAGTCACTGGCTTCAACTGTATGCCATGTAATATTTTAGCTTCTTATGGCATCTCAAACCTTAGTTATCTCGAAATCATTCATCAAAAAAATTGAGAATGACATAGTATATGGTATAAAATACCTGATTCCACATTTCTTAGGCTTTATCATCCTGCTTTTTAGCGTTTGTGCTTTTACACCACTGAACATTTTTTAGATAGTTTATAAAGGTTTAATGCGAATGTATTGCTGCAGTTACATCTCAAAGATTGCTAATGGAACTTTGGATGATCCATGTTTTCAGGCTACATTCAAGATAACATTGGAAGTGCCATCAGAACTCGTTGCTCTATCAAATATGCCTGTTGTTGAAGAGAAAGTGGATGGAAATCTTAAGAGAGTTAGTTATCAGGAATCGCCAATCATGTCGACTTATTTAGTGGCAGTTGTTGTTGGTTTGTTTGATTATGTTGAAGATCAGACTCCTGACGGTATTGTTCAATCACTATTGTAGGATAATCTTTTTTTTTTTTTTTTTTTGCTCCATATGAAATCATCCTCTATCATGTGTCTTATATGATATGATTATACATCTTGCAGGGATTGCTGTCCGTGTTTACTGTAAGGTTGGTAAGGCAGATCAAGGCAAATTTGCTCTAGATGTTGCAGTCAAAACACTAGGAATATATAAAGAGTAAGTGACAAGATTTACCTATTCTTTTCAGCATTGAATGTGATCAAGCTGTTAGTTCCCATCTTAGTTCAGAATTAACTCAACAGTTTTATGGGTTATTTTATATCCTTATTTCAAGCTTTCTCAATTTCTATCCGGCGACTGGTTTAGCATTTGGAAGTTTCAAATAATACAGCACATCTAAGAAGTGTAATTTGTTAGTTTGAATGGCACTTTTGCATTAACACTTTATTAAACAATCTCAGGTACTTTGCTGTGCCATATTCTCTGCCCAAATTAGATATGGTTGCGATCCCAGATTTTGCTGGTGGAGCCATGGAGAACTATGGCTTAGTCACATATAGAGAGACTGTTTTGCTGTATGATGAGGAGCACTCTGCAGCTGCTGAGAAGCAGACGGTCTCTCTCTCTCTCTCTCTCTCTCTCTCTCTGTGTGTGGTTAGCTATGACGAATATTTTAAAGTTACCTACATTGGGGAATCTGATTTGCATAATTGAGAAATTGTTAGTCAGCATAGGCAACCTGCAGCTGCTGCTGAGAAATTATTTGTTTGTTTCAGATTGCAACTGTTCTAGCCCATGAACTTGCACATCAGTGGTTTGGCAATCTAGTAACAATGGAATGGTGGACAGATCTATGGTTGAACGAGGGATTCGCTTCATGGGTTTGTCCTTTGTGCATTCATAGGATTACTACTATTTATCCTGAGAACTTTATGAATAAATTCTCTTTCTTACTATTTCCTTTTTTTTGGTATTTCCAGATTAGCTATTTAGCAGTTGATAGCCTGTTTCCTGATTGGCAAATTTGGACTCAATTCCTTGATGAAAGTTCTGAAGGTCTTTGCTTGGATGGGCTTTTGGAATCACATCCTATTGAGGTGAGGGATACTGCTTGCGCTTCATTTTGTCAGGCCACCAATTTTGCCGCCTCTTATTTGCATTCCATCGGCTTTCTTTTTAGGTTGACATTAATCATGCTGCTGAGATCAATGAGATCTTTGATGCTATAAGTTCCAGGAAGGGTGCTTCTGTAATTCGGATGTTGCAGAGCTATTTGGGTGCTGAATGTTTTCAGGTTGACATTTTTCCAGTTCTTTTACATAAAATCTGAACAAATCGCAAAGTTTTGGGTTCGTATTTTAGCTGCTGAACTGTTGTGTAATGTGTTCTGACCGATCAACCAACAGGAGTACATCCTCCTAACTATTTTAAGCCCTTAGTTTTTGTGAATTTTACGGAACAAAAAAAAAAAGAAGAAAAAGAAAAATCTTCTACCCTCTTCTTGCTGTGCATTTATAATTCAAGAAGAAAAATTTGGTGAAAGCATAACCCATTGTGTAAAAGCATATCCGTGTGTAACCAGAACCTCTCTCTACTTTATGTCTGGAAATGTTACAGGCTTTTGTTAGAAGTCTCTTGCCACATTAGTTTCCTTCTTAAGCCCAAGTTTCTTTTACAGCGATAGTACCACTTTTCAAGGCAACATCTTTTCTAAGCAGCACTGTATATATTAGTAAATTCTATTTCATTAGACTATGAAGTTATCTATCATGCAGAGGGCACTGGCTTCATTCATAACAAAATTCGCATGCTCAAATGCAAAGACCGAAGATTTATGGTCCGTCCTTCAGGAGGAGTCTGGTGAACCTGTGAGCAAGCTAATGAATTCCTGGACGAAGCAAAAAGGTTATCCAGTTATTTTTGTCAAATTGCAAGACCAGAAATTGGAATTTGAGCAGGTTTTCTTTTGACAATGATTTTTATGTATGATGCATTTTTATATTTTGATACTTACAGATTTCACTCACTCGTTTTTTGTTTTTGATGAATTGAAGTCCCAATTTTCACTGGGTTGTCCCCCAGGAGATGGGCAATGGATTGTTCCAGTCACGTTGTGTTGTGGAGCATATGAGACTCGCAGAAACTTTCTACTACAAGCAAAATCTGAAATGCACGATATCAAGGATTTGTTGGGTGCCTCAATATTTAAAAGCAATTCTTGGGTTAAAGTCAATGTGGACCAAACAGGTTTCTACAGAGTTAAATATGATGAGGACCTCTTAATGAGACTTAGATATGCGATAGAGAAAAATTACTTGTCAACGATGGATAGATATGGTAAATCAATAGTGTTGATACTCTATTTGCCATATGTCTAAAAACCAAAGGTTCACTAAAAACCAGTATCTCATCTTAACAGGTATTCTGGATGACTCATATGCCTTATCTGAGGCCTGTCACCAGTCATTGGCTTCTCTACTTGCATTGATGGGGGCTTACAAGCAGGAAAATGACTACGCTGTTTTATCCAACTTAATTAGCGTATGTTTAAAAGTGTGCTTTGATAAATATTTTTTAGTCATGCAGAGCATAATCTCCTTTTTGTTTTTTGTGTCATCATAGATAAGCCGCAAGGTTGTGAGAATCACAGCTGATGCTGCCCCTGAATTACTGGACGATATCAAGCTATTTTTCATCAACCTTTTTCAATATTCTGCAGAGTATGCTCCTTAAAACAATTTTTGACTTCTGATTTTGCTGATATATGATGTTGCAAATGTTGCTACTTTCCAGCACCATTATGCCAGGAAAGTAATTATTCTTGGAGTAACATTACTGCTGGTTATTATAATGATATCACAGCCTAGAGATATTGAGTTTGATCCGTAATTCTTCGCAATTACTCCGATGACGTAAAATGACACAATTACTTTTTTCCATATCATTGCTTTATAATAGTGTTTCGCACCTAAATGCGACCCTCAGATGGAAGTGTGTTAGTCAAGATCATTTCATGTACTAAAATAAAAAGATGAAGTTATCCCGTTGTAGGTTTAGCGGCACCCTGATTGATAGTTCTATAAGATTTATAATTTCCTTCTAATTTTCTTCACAGGAGACTTGGTTGGGATCCTAAGCCAGGGGAGAGCCATCTAGATGCTATGCTGAGAGGTGAACTCTTGAATGCACTTTCCTTTTTTGAACATGAAGAGACTCAAAAAGAGGCAATCAGACGCTTCCATATATTCCTGGATGACAGAAATACACCTGTCCTTCCACCGGATTTGAGAAGGGTACTGAGATATATTATGAATGGATATATATTGCTGTTCACCCTTAGTTGTTGGGTCTCATACGCTGCACTTCATTACAGGTTGCATATGTGACTGTAATGATGAAGGTCACCAAATCAAATCGGGTAGGCTATGATTCTCTTCTGAGAATCTACAGAGAATCTGACATCAGCCTGGAAAAGATCTGGATACTAGGTGACTTCTTTGACTATTCTATGCAGATATCAAGAATCTTTGTTAGTTCATTTGGGGAAATTAAACATGTTCATGCTTTTTGTAGATTCACTGGGATCGTGCAAGGATCCAGAAATTATTGATGAAATGCTAAATTTCCTGTTGTCTTCTGAGGTATTAGTGGTTTCTATGGATAAATATATTGGCAAATATAAATCTTCTTTTTTTGATTTTTAATCCATTGCTTAGAAATATCTTAATTCTTCTCTTTTTTGCTTTGTGGTTAATGTTGTCTCAGGTCCGAAGTCAAGATGTTATCTGTGGGGTTGGTAGAGTTAGTAGAGAGGGACGTGAGACAACTTGGAAATGGTTGAAAGTAAGTACAACTTTCATATAATGTACCTAAAGGGAAAGTATTGGTGTAAACTATTGTGGGTAACAATAAACAGATAAGCGTAGCATGCATGAAAGATATTTTTTATCTGCTAATGATATGGTAACTTTGTGGAGAAAGAAATTGGATTCTTATAGAGAACTAAGATATCTATATGAAGATAATTTCGGTTCCCACTCACAGAATTCTTTTCCTAAATTGTGCAACTAGACTATGAGCTTCACAGTTTTCTTTATTTTCAATAGACGTAGACGGATAATATACCTAGAATGGACTTCATACTGACTGTTGATTACTGTCACCCTGCACATTGTAGGAGAACTGGGATCAGATTGTGGAAACTTACGGTGCTGGATTTTTAGTGATGGGTTTCATTGTTTCAGTTGTTTCACCGGTGAGTCCTTAATGAGGTGCCTTGATTCTTATGCTGTGTATCTTATGAATTGCGCCAGTCTTAGTTGCTGATGATGATGTCTGTTGTTTTTTCCCTTTGTCTGTAGTTTTCCACCCATGAAAAAGCCACAGAAGTGGAGGAGTTCTTTGCAAGCCGAATGAAGCCTTTCATAGTCCGGAGCTTAAAACAGAGCATTGAGAGAGTCCACATCAATGCGAGGTGGGTTCAGAGCATTCGGAACGAGAAAGAACTTGCTCATGTCGTGAAGGAGCTTGCTTATAGAAAAGACTAGTAAAGATTTTATGTCGATTGTCACAGGCTTCAAGTGTTGTTGTTTTCTTTTTGGCACAGCTTTCTCCTTCGTTTCACATTGAACTGATAGGAATGTTGCATTCTCGTACAATATGAACTGCGAAAACTATACTGCAAAAAATTATGTAATTGGAGAAATTTTCTTTGGCGTAAATTGGATTATTTGTTTTCGTCATTTGGTGTTTTACGTATGAAATGTTTTAGAATTTCACCTTGAGTCCAAGCACACACGATTCTAGGCATGCATACTAAAAAAATGATAGAGTTCTTGAAAAACATTCTAGGCTCGAAATCCAGGATTTCCTGGATTCCCTTCTTCAGAAGTTTGCGAGATCTGTCGCAGTACAGGGAATTCTGTGAAGCCTACACCGATAAGATGAGGCAACTTGGAGAAAATGTAAAGTTTCCTGAAGACCTTCATCCTTTTCGCAACGTTACGAGGCCTTGCGCATAATAAGCAGATGGAAAGTTTTTCTTGTTCATGTTGAAAAAGCTTAGTTGCCAGGGCAGCATGCTGTCTGTGTAATTTGAGGATTTCATTCTGGCATTGACATTTCGTTCTGTTTATTATCAAACACCTGAAGGGTCAAAAGGGAAAATTTTGACTTCCCTGAAGGATACCAAGATGTTTTGGGATCAATTTCAGATACTTACCAACAAATGAAAGAGGAAAATGTATTTGGATTCTCATTGTTTTCCCTTTTCCGCTCTTGGGATCCTTTTCAGACAATGTCCAGATAAAGGAGATACATAAGTTTCTCAAGATTCACTGGATGTGGAAAACATCAAGTCAAGTATATCAATTAACTGGATTTAAAGATGTGGGAATCAATTTTCGGATTCAAGTCAAAAGGGTTGATAACCCCGAATCATGTGGTCATGATCAATGTCAAGGGACCCCTGCAGTGCAGGGTTGTGCTATTCTCAGGCTGCTTCAGGCATGGATTGAATTTTTTTTGTTCTTTGTTGCATGTTTCTTAGTGTGAATAACGTGGAGGTTGTGACTAAATCAAATAGGAGTAAAATCATCATAATAAAACAAAAGAATACTCCAATACTTAGCTTATTTTCCAAAGATCCGAGCTAGCTATATAGAGAGAGTAGTACTTGGTGTCAATTATCATCACCAAGATGAATAATAAATCACTAAAAAATTCCGTACTATATTACATTCATCAATTTTTAAAGTGTTTCGTTGTCATCAATTGAGGTGTTGTCTTCATTTGTAAATAAACATTAACCAAAAAAAAATAAAAAAAAATCACGTTAATAGTGTTGATTGAGATTAGTAGCACATAGAATAGAATAGAATAGAATACATCTAATTCTGTTATTCTACCAAATTTCGGCAAAACCTATATGACCCTCTCCTACTATATATATATAATAATATATTTATTATTAGTATTATCTTCTCACATTACAGTATTATTATTACTAGTCTTGAAGCCAAATACACTTTCTGTTTTGGGGACGCACTCTATAAATACCATCACCGGCTCTCACTTTACTTGAGATTGACGTTTGAAGAATCTGCCGGAGTTTTACCATCGATTCCGGTGAAGAAAAATGGAGGCTAAAAAGTATCAACAATTCCGAGGTCAACCTAGGCTGCCGAAATTCGCGGTGCCCCGACGTTACGATCTTCATCTCAAACCTGACCTCGATGCCTGCAAGTTCTCCGGTGCCGTCCAAATCACCGTCGACGTTGTTTCCGCCACCAAGCACCTTGTCCTCAATGCCGCTGAACTCTCCGTTGACTCCAAGTCTGTTCAATTTAAAACCCCGACCAAGGTGAGTCCTGATACGCCTTGTGATTTTCGATTGATTTGAGTTGTTAGTTTATTTCATGGAATGATCTGATAGTTTTTTTTCCCCCTTCTTTGCATAACGATATGAATTATTATTATTATTATAGGTTCTGGAGGCGGCGGTGGTGGAAATGTGTGAAGAGGACGAGATAGTGGTGATAGAGTTCGGGGAGAGTTTACCTGTTGGCGAAGGAGTTTTGAGTGTTTCCTTTGAAGGAACTTTGAACGACAGGATGAAAGGCTTTTACAGAAGGTATATTCTATTCTATGTTTGATTATTCGATCTGTTCACGTATGGGGCTTTTGATTTGGTTCTCACAGGATACCAGTTGTGGCACTCTGAATGGTATGCCTGTTTGAAAGTTTTGTAGCTTAAAACAGTTTATTGATTGAATTTTTTCTTTATTTACATATTTTGTCTATACAGATTTGAGTCTCCCTGTGGCATTTTAAAAGTAGTTTCTAATTCAGCCGTGTTAGTTATCTGTTCAAATGTAAACATGTGGTAATGGAAAGTGGTGGGTGCTGTTATTGATGAGTAGTCATTACCTTTGAAGATTTGTAGATGATAGCAAAAGTGGATGAGACATTTATGTATTGAGAATTTCTGCAATTGTTTATGTCCTTTACTGTCTAAGGTAGTATGTGAATTGTTTACTTTCTTGACTTGAGAATATGTAGTACTTTCTTCACTTGAGAATATGTTTCTTATTAACAGATTGTCTAAAAGGTTTCAGTTAGTTCTTATGTACTTTAAATTTTGGATCACATTCCAGTTCTAATATATTTTTTTGTTCAGTGTTTATGAACATAATGGGGTGAAGAAGAACATGGCTGTGACACAGTTTGAACCAGCAGATGCAAGGCGGTGCTTTCCCTGCTGGGATGAACCAGCTTGCAAGGTACCCTCTCGTTTTAGTTGTTGCGGACTCTGCATCCTTGTCTGATTTAGGAATTTCTTTTTACTAGGGTCAGAATGACTGTAAGTGTCAACATTAACAATGTTGAGACTTCATTGACTTAAACTGGATCAGTGTACAAGTTATTTCAATCACTGCCTGCAATTGTATGCCATATAAGATTTTAGCTTCTTATGCCATCTCAAACCTTAGTTATCTTGCAATCCTTCATAAAAAAAAAATAAAAATGAGAATGATGCACATTTTATAGACATCGTCATCCTGATTTTTAGTGTTTGTAATTTAGCTCCACCGAAAGGTTTGATGCGAATGTATAGCTGCAGTTACATCTCAAAGATTGCTAATGAAACTTTGAATGATTCACATTTTCAGGCTACATTCAAGATAACATTGGAAGTGCCGTCTGATCTGGTTGCTCTTTCAAATATGCCAGTTATTGAAGAGAAAGTGGATGGAAATCTTAAGAGAGTGAGTTATCAGGAATCACCAATCATGTCAACGTATTTGGTGGCAGTTGTTGTTGGTTTGTTTGATTATATTGAAGATCAGACTCCTGACGGTATTGTTCAGTCATTACACGTTTTTCTTGCTTCATTATGAAATTATCCTCAACATTTGTTTTATGATGAAATGATTATGCATCTTGTAGGGATTGCTGTCCGTGTGTACTGTAAGGTTGGTAAGGCTGATCAAGGCAAATTTGCTCTAGATGTTGCAGTCAAAACACTAGGAATATATAAAGAGTATGTGACAGAATTTCCTTTTCCTTCAGTATTGAATGTGATCAAGCTTCAGTTCCCATATTATTTCAGCATTAAGAAACTCAACAGTTTCACATAATTGTAGCACATGTAGAATGTGTGTGTGTGGGTGGGTGGGTGGGTGGCTGTTTGTGTGTGTGTGGGTGTGTGTGTGTAAATTTGAATGGCACTTTTGCATTAATGTTTTTTTAAACAATCTCAGGTATTTTGCTGTGCCATATTCTCTGCCCAAATTAGATATGATTGCAATCCCAGATTTTGCTGCTGGAGCCATGGAGAACTATGGCCTAGTCACATATAGAGAGACTGCTTTGCTGTACGATGAGAAGCACTCTGCAGCTGCTAACAAGCAGAGGGTCTCTCTCTCTCTCTCTCTCCCCACCCCCCCTCTCTCTCTATCTCCCCCTCTCTCTCTATCTCTCTCTCTGTCTCTCTCCCCCCCTCTCTCTCAATCATTTAAAGCTACTTTAGGGAATCTGATTTGTATGATTGAGAAGTTGTTAGTCAGCTTAGGCAACCTGTATCCGCTGCTGAGATATTGTTTGTATGTTTCAGGTTGCAACTGTTGTAGCACATGAACTTGCACATCAATGGTTTGGCAATCTAGTAACAATGGAATGGTGGACGCATCTATGGTTGAATGAGGGATTTGCTACATGGGTGTGTCCTTTGTGCATTCATAAGATTACTACTGTTTATCCTGAGAACTTTATGAATATAGTCTCTTTTTAACTTTTTTCTATCTTTCTCATTTTTTGGCATTTAGGTTAGCTATTTAGCAGCTGATAGCCTCTTTCCTGAGTGGAAAATTTGGACTCAATTCCTTGATGAAAGTACTGAAGGACTCCGCTTGGATGGGCTTTTGGAATCGCATCCTATTGAGGTAAGTGATCCTGGTTACTCTTTATTTTGTCGTGTCACCAATTTTGCACCCTTATTTACATTCCATTGGCGTTCTCTTTAGGTTGACATTAATCATGCTGGTGAGATCGATGAGATCTTTGATGCTATAAGTTACAGAAAGGGTGCTTCTGTGATTCGGATGTTGCAGAGCTATCTGGGTGCTGAATGTTTTCAGGTTGACATTTTTCCTAGTTCTTCTATATTCAATCTGAACAAATTGCAATTTTTTTTGTTCGTTTATTTGCTGCTGAACTGTTGTATAATGTGTTCTGACCAATCAATCAACAGCAGTACATACTCCTATTTGGTCTAAGCTCTTAGTTCTTGTTGAATTTTACCAAAGAAAAAAAAATACACCTCATACTGGCGGTGCCTTAATGATTCAAAGAAAATTTTTAGTGAATCATAATCCATTCTGTAAAATCCGTCTCTTCTTTGTCTGTAAATGTTACAGGCTTTTGTGAGAAGTACCTTGCCACATTAATTTCCTTCTTGGGCCTACCTTTTATAGCTGTCGTTACCACTTTTCAAGGGAAACATCTTTTCTATGCGTAAATACTAATACATAGTATTTCATTAGACATTTTGCCACAGGAAAAAGATGTGTTTTTTATTAACTTATTTTATATTGTGCAACTTTTCACGCAGAGGGCACTGGCTTCATACATAAAGAAATTTGCTTGCTCAAATGCAAAGACCGAAGATTTATGGTCTGTCCTCCAGGAGGAATCTGGTGAACCTGTGAACAAGCTAATGAATTCCTGGACGAAGCAAAAAGGTTATCCAGTTGTTTCTGCAAAATTGCAAGACCACAAATTGGAATTTGAGCAGGTTTTCCTTTGGCAATGATTTTTATGTATTCATACATTTCTACATTTATATACTTTCAGATATCACTCACTAGTTTTTATTTTTGATGAATTTCAGTCCCACTTTTTGCTGAGTGGCTCCCCAGGAGATGGGCAATGGATTGTTCCAGTCACATTATGTTGTGGCACATATGATGCTCGCAAAAGCTTTCTACTGCAAGCAAAATCTGAAACGCACGACATCAAGGATTTGTTGGGTGCCTCAACATCTAAAAGCAATTCTTGGGTGAAAATCAACCTGGACCAAACAGGTTTCTACAGGGTTAAATATGATGAGGACCTCTCAGTGAGACTTAGATATGCGATAGAGAAAAATTACTTGTCAACGATGGATAGATATGGTAAGTCAATAGTGTAGATACTCTATTCACCTTATATCTACAAACCAAAGGTTCCCTAAATCCAGTAACTCATCGGAACAGGTATTTTGGATGACTCATATGCCCTGTCCGTGGCTTGTCACCAGTCGTTGGCTTCTCTGCTTGCATTGATGGGGGCTTACAAGCAGGAAAATGACTACACTGTTTTGTCCAACTTAATTAGTGTAAGTTGAAAAGCTCACTTTGATATTTGTTTTTGAATCATGCAGACTATAATCTCATGTTTTTCTTTTGTGTCATCACAGATAAGTTGCAAGGTTGTGAGAATTGCAGCTGATGCTGTTCCTGAATTACTGGAGGATATGAAGCTATTTTTCATCAACCTTTTCCAATATTCTGCAGAGTATGCTCCTTGAACAATTTTTTGACTTGTGATTTTACTCATGTATGTTGCATGTGGTGCTCCTTTCCAGCACAATTATGCTAGGATAGTGATTATTCATAGAGTAACATTTCTGCTGGTTATTATAATGATATCACAGCCTGATTGGTAGTTCTGAAAGATTTATAATTTCCTTCTAAATTTCTTCACAGGAGACTTGGTTGGGATCCTAAGCCAGGGGAGAGCCATCTAGATGCTATGCTGAGAGGTGAACTCTTGACTGCACTTTCCCTTTTTGAACATGAAGAGACTCAAAAAGAAGCTAGCAGGCGCTTTCACATATTCCTGGATGACAGAAATACACCCGTCCTTCCACCGGATTTGAGAAGGGTATGTATATATGTATATATATATTTTTGGCTGTTCATCCTCAGTAGTGAGATCTCATGCGCCAGAACCACTTCATTACAGGCTGTATATGTTTCTGTAATGCTGAAGGTCACCAAATCAAATCGGTCAGGGTACGATTCTCTCCTGAGAATCTACAGAGAGTCTGACCTCAGCCAGGAGAAGACCCGGATACTAGGTGAGTCTCAACTAATCCATGCAGATATCTAGAATCTTTTTAGTGCACTTGGGGAAATTATACATGTTTTTTTCCTTTTTGTAGGTTCACTGGGATCTTGCAAGGATCCAGAAATTATTGATGAAATTCTAAATTTCTTATTGTCTTCTGAGGTATTAATGGTTCCGATCGATAAATATGTAACATTGGCAGATCTAAATCTTCTGTTTGATATTTATCCATTGTTATAGAAGTCTGAAATATATTGATTCTTGTCTTTGTTGCTGTGTGGTGTATGTTGTCTCAGGTCCGAAGTCAAGATGCTGTCCATGGGCTTGGTGTTAGTAGAGAGGGACGTGAGACTGCTTGGAAATGGTTGAAAGTAAGTACAACTTTATATTGGTTCATAAAGGGGAATTGTTGGTGTAGAGTATCATGCGGAAGAATAAACAGATCAGTGTGGCATGCATGGAAATATATGTGTGCTTACGGATATGGTAACTAAAAGTTGAGAAAGAAAATGGATTCTTACAGAGAACTAAGTTATCTATATGAAGATGATTTCGGCTCCAGATTACAGAGAACTAATTTGTGCGACTAGACTATGAGCTTCATGGTTTCCTTTATTTCCAGTACACAGACAGATAATAATAATATACCTGGAGTGGACTTCATACTGACTGTTGACTACTGTCTCCCTTCACATTACAGGAAAACTGGGATCAGATTGTGAAAACTTACGGTGCTGGCTTTTTAGTGACTCGCTTCATCGGTTCAGTTGTTTCACCGGTGAGTCTTTAATGAGGCGCCTTGATTACATTGTGTATCCAATATATTGCGGGCGTATTAGTTTCTGATGATGATGTCTGTCGTTTTTCCCTTTGTCTGTAGTTTTCCACCTATGAAAAAGCCACAGAAGTGGAGGAGTTCTTTGCAAGCCGAATGAAGCCTTTCATAGCCCGGACCTTAAAACAGAGCATTGAGAGAGTCCACATCAATGCGAAGTGGGTTGAGAGCATTCAGAAAGAGAAAGAACTTGCTGATGTAGTGAAGGAGCTAGCTTATAGAAAGGACTAGTATAGTTTTTTATGTCTGGACTATCACAGGCTTCAAATGTTGGGGTTTTCTTTTGGGAAAGCTTTCTCCTTTAAACAAATTTTACTCGTTCACTTTAAAAAGCTGCTACACACTGCGAAATTATACTGCAAAATTATGAATAATTCGAAAAATTTTCTTTGGGTCATTTGGGTTGCTTGTTTCATTTGGTGTTTTACATCTGAAATGTTTAAATCGCATTTCAGACACGATTATGGACATGCATACGAGTTTTTTTTTTTTTTTTCGGTCGGACGTATAGAATCATTGTTTGAGCTGAGTTGAATGGTCTTCTTTTTGATATCTTAATTTGTCATATCACCGTTGGAATCTAAAAGAATAGCCCAAAAAAAAATTGCTCTCAATCAAAAGGCCTAACAATATAAGAGCTGCTCTTCTTTTTAATTTTCTAAAAGGTTATATATCCCCCTTGCTAATCTTTACATGTTTTTAATCTTCCACGGTCGACTTGTTCTTCTTTCCATGGATTTTATTCGAATGTAATTAATTCTTCAAAAAAAATCTTTGTGTGATTGTGTTTCCTAGAATATGATGCATAAGTCAAGTGTATGAAAAAGCCGTCATCTTTAACGTCACGACCATGCATTATAAATATATCGGAATAAGTGGTGACATATTATAATGATATAACGGCGTAAAAATCAAAGAAATGTATATATTTAGAAATAAGCTATTATTGTATGGCGTGATGTATTCAAACTATAAGCTGACGTAAACCCTAAAATATTTACAAGTCGCAAAATTTTAAATCTAAAAATATATTGAATATCTTTATTTTTAATTCCCGATATTAAAGAGCTCAAATAAGATTTTGGAAATTGTAGCGAGATGCATGAATATATTGCCAAAATAGGACTCTTTGATTCCTTTTTTTTTCCCCCGGAAATCCAAGCATTTTATGAGATTATAGAAATTGTCAATAAAGTATCCAGAACTGAGTTAATATCTTCCTCCGTCTCGAAATTATTGTCCAGTTTGAATTTTCATTTTTAATTCAATTAATTTGTACTAAATCTTAAAATCCAAATTGGATAACAATTTTAAGACAGAGAAAGTAATTTGTGTACAATAGAGTAAGTTGTGTACGAAGTAGGATTGAATTCCGGACAACACAATTCATAGCTCAATTGATACCGGGACACATCTTTAGAGAAAGGGGAAAGTGATCTCACAACCTCAAACTCAAGAATATATTTAGCCAATGCTTATTGCTCAGAGGTTTACTTGTCAGATCATGCCCTACTAAGTAAAAATGATCTCTCCCCCTTTAGGTATCTAAAATATTAAAAGAAATAATATAAAAATAATTAAACTATGAAAATAGTTGAATACAAGGGAAAAGAATCCCGCTTTTAATGAAAATTTTCCGTCTTTAGCCAAAAAGCTCACCCACTTTTCATTCCTCTTCTAATTTCTCTATCGAAATACCATATGAAAATATGGAATCACAACCATTATCGAAATACCATAAGAGATTACACAACCGAAAAATAAAAGGTATTGGCGCACTGATTCAATTTTTCACGAATTTAACATTCAACAAAGCATCATTAAATCTTTAAAAGTTAGATGATGGCTTACGGAAAAACTCACTTCGCCACAGTGGAGACCATGGAGGTTTAAGCCTACCGCAGTTGCTTAATCGGAATCAAAGGGTAGAAATTTGAAGCCAAAAAAAAGAGATAGAGATCTAAAAAAAAGAATTAGAGTTTCTGTGGATTGAGATTATAAAGTGGATTAAGATACCGTACGTGAAGGAAGGAAGAAAATAAGGGAAAAACTATCGGGTTAATCCATTCAAATTTGCTTAAGGGCAATAGAGGAAAATAGTTCTCTCAATTTATCAACACCATTGTGGCTAATACCTTTTTTTTTTTTTTTCTTAGTATATTACATATCTCGTGTCTGTGGTTGGGAGGCAAAACTACCAAATCTTGTTTCATTTTGGCTCCTCCCATTTTAGGTTCTAATGTTAGTTGCAAGTGCTAAGTAATGGCAACAATTTGTTAAATCGTGAACATCACTGAGTGTGACAACAAATCTGGAGACAACAGAAATCGAAAATTGGATAACTTTTCACCACAACTTAGCCCTCATGATGGCAATAATAGCCACGCCCAACACGAGCCACCACCAACCAACACAACCAGCACATCCTCCTCTACCAATGAAAGCAACACCATCACAATCATTGTTACCAAACAAACTTCAATGCATCACAAGAACAAAGGTAAAAAGCACAAGAAATCAAACACTAAAAAGGTCTTCTAATAACTAAGTTTGCTGCTATTTCATTCCCAAAGGCATCCGTCGGCCAAAGTCATACAAATGTTGACTTACCTCACAGAGACATTTTAACCCGGAGGCAGGAGCTACCCATAACTTTTCGGTTTATGACATGCCAGTACCATTTGATTTCCCTGATATCCCTATCCCTATTGGAGCTAAAATATACAAGGGCTGAACTTTTCGACAAGTGATAAATGACTGACTTCTGAGTTTTGTTCATCGCACCTCAAATGCAGACACTAACAGAAAGCGCTACATAGCTCTAGTGAAAAAACAGAAGAGCCATTACCATTTCGCCTACATTCAAATGAGCAATATCGGAACGACTAAGCCTCTTAAGGCTTGCTCTTAAACTTTCTCTGAGCTTTCAAGTCCACCACAATTACAGTTATATTGTCCTTGCTTCCTTTCTGGCTAGCACGGTTTGAAAGGCACTCTGCTGCTGCCTGAGCTGCAGGATCAATTCCCTCACCTCTTCCCGAGGGTGGTATGACACCATTCTTTTTATGCCAGAGAAGTATCCGTTTACGGGCAATGTCACAGGCTTCCTCATTCGTCATAACATCCCATAAACCATCACTCGCTAAAATGAGACACTCGTCATCCTTGGTTCGAGGAATAAACATCACTTCTGGATCTGGTATTATCCAGGGTTTCAAGTACCTATCTCCTGCAAGTCAAAACTCTGTTAGGCTCACTCAATGATGCACTTTAGATTGTCACATATTAACTATTCAATTATCCAAAAGAAAATGGGGAAGTGTGGCAAACAAAGACAAATAACAAATGACAGTGATGGGAAAGAGGACATCAGAGACAACCAGAGCAAACTCTGAGCCATAATATTCAAAGAATTTCAAGAACATCGCACAGTTGTCTTTATGCTTGAAACAGATACACCCACAACAAAGCATAGCTGGACATCCATGATAACTGATTCTGCATTCTAGACTACGTGTAGCAACGGTGGTTTAATGCATGCAAGCATGCATTTACGTAAATCCGTAAGACTGAGATCTCCTCTACATGGTATATCCATAACACTGATTGTATGCATCTCATAAAAAAATTTGATCAGCAAAATCCCAGTTCAAATTTCCTCTATCCAAAACAGAAATATAATTGAAAATTGAAGAAGGATTACCAGGTATGGTAATATGGCATTTATTTGAAGGATAATCTATTAACCACAAAGCCACGGAAAGGAAGAATCTCAATCCTCAGTTTCATCAATTATACCACAAAGAAGAGAAAATGGCCTTCGTCTTTCTCCATTTCAGACTACCAATTGGCTCCAGAGCTTAACAAGTTCAAGAAACTAGTCCAAACTCAGTTGTTTACACCAGAAGGTTCTCTGGGTTGTACACTTTCAACCTCCCCCGTTCACCTCCCTTCCCTACTAAACCAACCCCAGCCCCAGCAAGGTCTTTGTCCCCTTTGTTTTTACCTACCAGACAATCTCTACAGCAATCATAAGTTTCATGTGGGAGGCAAAATGATTCTTTTTCCCATTTTTATAACACTAGTGTGATCTTGAATCACGGAGAAAGGAAAATAACTATGAAAAGGTGATTCGGTTAAAAGAAACATTTTAAGAAAAAATAAAGCTCACAAGTGAGCCCAATTTGACACTTATCGATCAAGGCCTCACAAACCCTAACCCCAAAGAGGGCTATGACCCTATCTAGCCAAAGATATTGCTAATGTGACAACCTCGCTGGATGTTTGCACAGGAACAAACATTTTGAGCTGACCTCAATCTTTACAAACCAAGCTCGTTTTTATATCTCATTTCTGTAAAAACGGGTAGGACCCTACTTTATCTTGTTTTAGTCGTCACTGATTGATGTCCCACCAGTGTATAAATTGCCCATCAAAACATGCAATGCTGCTATGCTTATAGTTTTTCTAACATCACTTTATTTTAGATTAAAATAAGATGCTAAACACAAAGGATAGGTTTCAAGTTTCAAACAAAAAGCAGTTAATACCTGTTAATAACTGCAGAAATTTAGTTACATATCATAGCGTGGAGTAAAGAGAAACTAATCCAAGAGGAAGCTCCAAAGAATCTTTAATTAATTACATAGTGAACCAAAGAAGAAACAGAAGAGATAATGACATGATTTACATACCAATAGATCTAGACATTGCAAGGACGCCAAAAACTCGATGTCCATTCCACTGTATTACCTTGCCTCCAGCAGCTTCAATCCTTTGGTATTCATCTTCTCGATTCGGCTGACAAAGACCAGAAAAATATCAGCCATAAATGCTTATCAACAAAAGTATGTGTAGATAAAATATTACTTCTTACTTTATGATCAACGGATAACGCCATAGGTTCCTTTCCACGATAAAGGACTGCCCTTGAATCACCACAGTTTGCAACTATGATGTGAGATGAACAAACAAGGGCTACAACGGCAGTAGAGCCAACAGTTTCTGGAGCAATAGGCTCAAGACCATCTTTACCTCCTACCTCAGCATCAACCTTAAGGAAACAGTTGGTGAATGCCCTTTTCCACTGCTCTGGACAGTTCTTCTGACTTTCATCCCCACTTCCAGCCATAATAGCTTCTAACTCCTCAGCCAAAACAGAATGAAGCCGATCATGGCAGTAATTTGCTACCTGAAAATGAGTGTGAATGTATTGTAAAAGCCAGTAAAAGAGAGATTTGTAACTTACAAAATTATGCAGCACACTAATGTTTGTGAGTGTGTGTGCGTGAGAGAGAGAGAGAGAGAGAGAGAGAGACCTGGAAGCCGCCGTGGCCATCGTAGACTGCAAAGAAATGTGAGGTTAGGTGACTTAGATGTTTGGCGGTTCCATCAAGTACGCGATCCCCAATGAGCATCGGAAGAGGAATTTTCAGGAACCTAGGTATAGTTGTAAAAGAATCTTCCATTTCTGGTCGCCTACCACATACAGAATAGACTCCCCAGAGGGGAACACAATCGATCTCAAATACACTGCGGCCAACCGCTCCACCTGACCCCTTATTGGAAGGAAGTTGAACAACTAAGGCAGATGCGTTTAAGGCAGAACCTTCAACAATCTCTTCCTCTATGCTAACAGTAACAGCCTGAGGATCATTTACCCTCCCATCAACAGTTGTGAGCGCCAAATCTTTGGCCTTCGCACCAAGTACAACATCACATATTCTCCCCTCAACTTCAATAAAATTTGTAGTCCCTATCTCTGAAGTTGTATCATAAGCCATAAAATCTTCAGCGCATAAACTGCTCGTATCACTCATCATAGACATAGAACAATCACCTTCCACGGATAGAGAATCATCTTCCTCGCTCTCACGGACAATGGAATCACTAGCACCCCCGTTGCTTTCATTCTCAGAATTCAAATCGAGACAGGGAGCTATATTTCTTCTATTCCCTTCAGGAACGGAAGACACAGGACTCACTTCCATGTCTGTCTTACTGTCACCACAATTTTCGTAAGCACCAGACATGGAATCTAACATACTCTCAGCAACAGTTCCTGAATACAAGCTCGTTCTGTCGTCCATCACCTAAGACCGATAAGACCAACAAAACTTCCTACAGTTAGACTTTCAAAAACAAAGTTACCTAATATAATGGGAAGTGCGGCTACCATGACAACATCTTCAGACAAAGTTCCCATTTTAGATAGCAGTAAAAGGTACAGGTTACAACAATTGTCATTGTTAAGCTAATACATCAGCTGCCACTACCATTGAGAAAATGCAAAATTACCAGTAATCTGCCTCAGCACCCCTTTTCGAATTCCAGACAATACATGGCCATAAAAGAAAATTTTAATTTGGGGTCTACTCCTCCCTGCTTTCATCTAATGACACAGTGGATATGGGAAAAGGTTTCTAGATCTGGAGACACATAAATTGAGCATAAACAACCACGTATGGAGAAGTAAGAATAAACACACGGGTGAGACATCAAGGATTAGTTTGGACCTTGTCTTCTCCTCTGAACTTCTCAGCTGCAATTGTCCATCCCACACAGTGAATATTAGATGGGTCCTCGAATTCCAGCCAATCACTCTAGACAAAAAAAAGAAACACACACACAAGAACAAATTAAAACACAAGAAAGAAAGGGGAAAAAATATGAAAAGGGCTCATGTGATAGAACCTAGGAAAGGCAAAACAAAGCCCCTAAGCTCACAGGGAAAACCTGAAAAGATATTGCCCTTTTTTAACATAACTAACATTGAGTACCCTGGATCTGAGGAAACCCTCAATAACCTTTTTTCTTCAAAACTAAACTCTTTCTTCCCATTTCCACTCTCCTTTCCAAACAATTATGACTCTTCCATTAATTAAACAACCCCCAAAAAAAAAATCCAAATAAACAGAAAACAATAAATATCAAACTAAAATTATAGCAGAATTTTTGTTGCAAAGAAAGAAGGAAAAAGCAGATGAAAGGCGGGAGTGACTACCTCTACTAAAAATCTCTCAAGACACTGCCCTGCAGTAGGAATAGAGCATTCCCCTTCCTGGGCTCCCTATATATACACAACAAAAAACAAGCAGCAACAACTTCTACTACAAAAACCCAATCTCGCTCTCATCCCAAGACTTCATTTTTATGGTTGTCAGTTGTAACGTATTGCCTGAGGGAGTGAAGTCATGGGTGTGATGAAAAGCATGAAGAGCATCAGATAAAAACAAGAAAAATGGGTTGGCTTTGCTTACTAATTTAGTAAACAGAAGTGTCACCAAATGCGATCAGCAAAAGCCTCACAGCCCTCCTTATTTCCTCTCTTCTTTTCTTTTCTTTCTTTTGCTGTTTTTTTCAGGTCAGTTTTCGAGCAAAGATTAAAACTTTTTTATTTCTTTTTCCCTTTCTTTGGAGTTGGGTTCCCGCAGACTTTGATACTAGTACTTGAAAGAGAGCAACAAAAGTTAGTGGAGGTATAAAAACTTAGTACAAATTAAAAAAAAAAACATTTAAACGAAAAAGAAGATTACTGTAATCTTATTATAATACGATTTTGGAGAATAGATTACATACATCTCACACAAAAGTCTTTTAAGATTAGTTATTATGGTCTTTGTGTTGGTTTTAGTGGTGAGTGTGTGAGAGAGAAAGAAAGGAGAGGGGGTAGGAAAGGACAGGTGTCAAATCGTGAAGATGGGGTTATTAAAATAAAGCATCTCCACCCATTCTTTTGCGTGCTCCTTCACTTTCCATTCCTCCATCCAATGACGCAGCAAACCGCCGCTTGTCCCCGTTTCCTTCTCCTGCATTCTAACTAATAACTCTGCCTTCACTAGTTAAGAACATATACCTATGTTACGTTGTTAACTTGCTCACATGTTAAGCGCGACAAATCAAAATATGCAATGTTTGTTACAAAGGTAAAGGGATTTTTGTGGAAATGACGTTGCGAGCGGTACAGAAAAAACGCTCTGCTATTACGGCTTTTCTATCGAACTTTAAGACAAGAAGATTGTTATTATAAGTTCATAACCTTGTTCTTGCCCTAATATCAATTCCCTTATCCTTTTCCTCTTTTTCTTGCTTTTTTTTTTCATTTGGTACAAAACCCTGATGTTAATTTTAACATACCAGTTACCAGCATTTCCTTTACGACTAGAAAGTAGATAGAAATAACTCCATTGTATTCAGAATTCACTCATCATCAGACGTAAAACACTCCTAACAAACTCTATTTCAATATCAACCATCGTTCATGTGGGATGTACCGGAAAAAAAGTGAGGGAAGAGACACCAGTTCCGCGGAGATGGAGCCTCATTATGTAATATGTATTAACCTATTAGGCCATCATAACATAGGCTTGATGGCAGCATCCGAAATATCCTTCCATCTCCTCCAAATTAAGAATGGAAAATAGACTATGTAAGATGATATCATCTTGTGTTCATTGAACTCAATGAATAAATCAGACATTGGAGTGTAAGGTGATCAAACTGCAATACTATAATTGAAAGCCTACACAAAATGCTCTCCAAACAAATCAATATAAGGCCGAAAACACTCAAAAGAGAAGCAATAATTGATTAGCTAAGATACATTGAGCAAATGTAAGCAACAATCCAGATGAACTACTCCAAGGATGAAAAATCTTATTGACTGTTTTGGAAAGTAGATCTACAATAGTTGATTTTGGGGGTTAATCATATGTTCTATTTGCTTTGTTGTTAATTTCAGTTTGGTTTAGCTAGTAATTTCCTAACAAGATTTGGATGGTGAATCTAGTCTATAGATTTAGCTTTTGTTTGCCTTCAAAGAATGAAATCTGTATTAGCTTTTTTTCAATTTTTTTCAGTAAAAAAATAAATATATCAGTCATAAATCATAATTCATCACTCCAATTGTATATATCTTACACAGTAAAACGACCAAAGTACGAACACCGCTAACAAAATTGCTATACACGAAGAAACTTATCAAATTTCATCTTTACACTATACTAATAATCCTAAACTTTAAAAAAACATTTGATCACACAATTTCAACTTTTGCTCAGCAACAAATCCCCCCAATTGATTTCGTATTGGAGGTCTCCAAATACAGCCTCTACTTCCATCTCACTTTTTTCAATGATTACCTTTTTCCAATATTTAGTTTATTTTTTATATTTTTCTGCACTACTCTGTCTAATTCAAAATATAAGTTGCGAGTTTGTCAAAATATAAGCCCCTTAGAATTTCCAGACAACATGAATTACTCATTTTCAACTTTACCCTTATTATTGCAGAACTCCCTTCCAGTTAGTAATTTTTACAATTTCAAAGCAGTTCTAAGCAATAAAATAAAAAAGTTCCCCCTAAAAGATATATAACACGTAATTAATTAAATGCTAACTACAGTAGAACGTCAGTAAATTAATAATATATTAATTAATAACTTTTCGCAATTAATAATTTTCTCCTGTCCCAACTTGAGACCAGTAAAAAAGCGAAGAAAATCGATAAGTGATAAGATAATAATGTTTTAGAAAATCTCCTATATATCCATAGGTCTTAACAATACCATAAATTAATAAATATCCTAAAAGTAAAAAATTAATAATAACTTCAAATAATTAGTACAATATTAACTGTTGATACTTATTTTTCAGTCTTTAGAGATGATATGAACTATGTATGGATATTTAGTATTCAGATTAGTTTTAATACTTGATTAATTTGGATGTAAAGACAACTACAAATTATGTAATCTACAGTGAGGGTTTTTTTTTTCCTCATAGAAATTCTTTAAATTAATAATTTATTAATTTATTAATAATTTAATAATTCTTTAATTAATAAATTTTTGTGGTCCCAACACTATTAATTTATAGAAGTCCAACTGTAATTGATTTTTTGATATGTTAACTTAACTAATTACTTTTTAAAATGAAAAAAAAAAGAAAGCTCTTTTTACATTCTCAAAACAAAAATAACATACTCAATAGTCAATACAAAAACACATACAGTACTTAAAAAAATTCCAGTGAAACATAAGTCAAAGTTAAAGGCGATGATAAAACAAAGATTATGACATAAACACACAATCCCAATCTTGTGGTTGAATAATGAGTAGAACCCCATCTATGTTATGGCGGAGACGGACTTGTGTTTGGTTAATTAGCTAGAGAGCAAAAATCAGGCTTAATTCTGTTATATGTAAAACAAAGCATCGTAATCGATGAATCCAAAGGATATATATAATTTTGAAACCTAAGATTTTGGAGTAATTTGACAAATATTATAAAGGAAGACATTAAAATAAACTCGTTAATCACCTATTTGTCTGTAATTATTATCATATGTAAGTCTAATTTTAATACCAGTAAACACTATTTGTCTGTATTATTTAGTTTTAATACCAACAAACACTATTCTATCAAATACTGTAATTTCAATATCGTAATTATATTCTAATGTTTAAGGGGTAGTACCAGGGAAATGTCTTTCTGCAGCTGGAAATTATTCCATCAAATTTGATGTCCCTAAACATTGTTTTCATGCTGGGGCGTAGTGGAAGGGTTGTTTACTCACTAGAGCAAATTAATTAAATGTGCATTTTAAAGATTGGACATGTGTTTTATGTGAGGAACATAGTTTTCAAAATCCCGATCCGGATCATAAAATCCTACAATCCTGCAATCCGAAATCAGAAAATCAATCCTGAATCTTATGGAATCTTCCTTTGTAGTGAAATCTTATAAAATCTTTCAAAATTCTAATCCAAATTGTAGGATCCTACGAGCCAACAATCCATTGATTTTGTCAATATTTGTACAAATTGTTGATTTCGTATAAAAAAAAAAAAAGAGGGAAAAATAATTATAAAAGATATAAAACTTGAAATTTTAAGTTGAAAACACTTATGCCGGCACTAATATACTTCTCCTCTATAAAATCAAACAAGAATTGAACTAACAAATCGAAACTAGTAATTTCAGAATTATTATAATATTTTGAATGGTTTCGATCCCACCGATCAAGAATTCGATCCGATTCTAAAACGTTAAAATGATCATGTGTGAAATCCCGCTTTTGAAAACATTGGAATATGTAGAAACAGTTCCCCATCTGTTCTTGGAATGTACTTATGACGAGAAGTTATGGGAGAGGACATTGCAATTACTATAAATTTCAGGTAGTCTTAAGGAACCAAAAGAGATTTTTATTTTTTATTTTTTTTTGAAAAAAAAAACTATAAGAGATTGTTGTTTGTGTGAAGGAAGCATGGTAGTATAAGATAAAAACATCTGTATTGCTGCACTTATGACATAGTTTTACCACATATGGGAAGTAAGGAACACGAAGATATTGGAGGAAAAAATGATCACAGTATACAACATGATTACATCTGTATAACAGGAGGTAAATTGAAAAATTAGTTGGAACACAAGGAAGATGAAGCCATAAAGTGACCAAAAGTACTGCAGAAGACTTGGTTTTATAGTGTGATTTTGAGTTTAATACGCTTTGAAAATTTCAGTTTGAAGCCGAGTGTTTGATAGTGTTCGTGTGTAGCTCTGTGTGTGTGTTGTGTTTTTTTTTTTAATTAAAACGGGGATATTATTAGGAAATAGAAGAAAGTACAGAGTGCTGGTTACATGCCTTTGCTTTGCTATGAACTAGTTCTAAAGCCCTTCTACTTACTTTCTTAATTGTACAAATACATATAATGGATTATATCAACTAGAAAGTCCCTAATATCAGTTTTTTTTTTTTTTTATTTGTGAGCAATATGTTTACTATTTACTAAAACAAAAACACAATTCTCTATAATTCATAATAAAAGGCCAGTATGTCATGTTGGGTCTCTATCAATGGTGATAATAAACTTTATATTTTCGCCTTTTTATGAGTCATTTTCAATGCGTTATTAATTACTTCATTTCCAATTTATCCTTAAGTAATAATTCTAACTCTCTCTAATATTCTCAATTGTCTCAACTCTATCTATGCATAGTGGTGCAAAAAGTATTTACTACATGGATTAATTACTTCTTCCATCTCTAAATTATTGTCTAATTTGCATTTTCAGTTTTAATATAAATTGAATTAAAGTGAAAATCCAAACTGAACGATAATTTTGGGACGAAGAGAGTATTAGATTATTAACATCTACAGTAAACCAATCTTGAAGACCATTTTGAGATATGAAAATCGTACGAGGAGTAAGCATGTTAAAAATCACGTAGATAGACAGAGGGATGTTAATACCCCCAATTTTTGTTCATTCTTTTGAAATTATTTCTTTTAAATTTTTTCCATCTATTCTCTGTCTTCACACTCATTCTAGTTCTGGGAATCTAATGATAACCCCAATAATTGTGATTCAACCTTTGAAGGGTTTCAAAGAGTACACTAGGATTCGAAATCCACCAAGGTCGGGAAAAAGAGAAAATAGACGGATTATGTCCAAAAAAAAAAGAATTAAAAGAAAAGCAAATTAATGTGCTTGACCTTCCAAAACTTGAATATAGAATTCCGCAATATAAATTCTTGTAAAGTTAGTTCGTATCTACTCTCCCCGTCCCAAAATCATTGTTCACTTTAGATTTTTAATTTTAATATGAATTGAACTAAAAATGAAAACTCGAACTGGACCATGAAAATCATTATTCACTTTAGATTTTTAATTTTAATATAAATTGAACTAAAAATGAAAACTCGACCATGATATTAGAAAGAGTACATAACTGATATCCCCCTTGTTCAAAAGTTGGAACAAATGTTAGAGAGTTTAACCCATATCACATTTGCAACAAATTAGCCTCAAAGCTGAACCATATTGCAAGTTAATGAAATTTTTTACTACAATGCAAATACAACAATTTCACTGGAACAAACACCAAAAGAGAAACACTCAGGAAAAAAGGAGACCATAAGGTATCAAGTTAAAGTAAGAAGATATCAAATCCTCATATATTTTGGCCATCCATTTTGTATGGAAATAGTCAAATAGTTTCTGTAATCTCAAGATCTATTCGAATCATCATACCAAAACTGCCACAAGAGAAAGCAAAGCACAATTCCGTTGCCAACCTGGGCAGCCAGGGATCAAAGGCACCGCAGAAAGCCTAAACCCTAAATCTAAGGAAACAGGTGTTCACTACCTGCAGTCCTCTTGTCCCATAAATTTAAGCATTTAATAACCTTAATGGAGGGATCACTGTACAGTTAATGACACAACTAGGAAGAAAAGTCAGAGCAGTTTCTCTGAGAAACCATGGCTAAGGGCCAACAACTTCATCAAATGCCACCAACCCATGCAGCAAGCTGTCACTTCAGCTATGGTGACATGGTATCATCCATTGGAGTGAACATCGGCACATCTGCTCCTTCGGAGGTTCCTTTCCGGATATGATTCCCTTTGGATTCACCTGCAGACAAATGCTATGTTATACTACGACCCAAAAACACTGGGTGATCAATCAAAGTAAAAATAATAAAGTGAAATATCTGACCAAAAGGGGAATCAATTGATGGCCGTTCTGGTGATAAGCTTCTATTCAAATCTGTAGAAGTACCCAATGCAAGCAAACGTCAATAGTTACAACAAGCTTTCCATTGTGTCTCCCAAGGAGGAAAGGGAGATTCATGTTTTAACTAAAGAGTGGGAAATCTTTACTTGAAAGAAAAGGAAAAGACACCCTCCAGAGAGGAAGCACATCATTACCGCCGCTGAGGGAAAACATTTTACTCACCTGAGGAATTCCTTAGTGTCTTCACAGCATCAAAGTTTTTGTACGTGTAGCCCACAAAACTTAAATCTTTCGGATTTAATTGCTACAAAGATGAATAAGATTGCAGCCTTTAAGACGATTGTAAATGATGTTGAAACTTTGTTTAAGAACAGAACTATCAGAACACATAGCTGAAAGATAAAGCACAATGCAAATGTTTGCAATCATAACTCCACAAATTGTACACCACAACTGGGTATCATTTGTCCAAGCTACGTAGAAGAACCAGCCTCATTGGCCAGTGATGGCAAGCAATATCAAATAAATCGGAGAAGACAATGATTGCGGCAGAGTTACAAAAATTAACCATTCTACTTGCAATTGCAAAATTCAAATGGAAACAAAGTAAACAGAAAAAAATCCAACTTTTAAATAGTTCCTCTCATGCATACGCATAGAGTTTACGAGCCTGGTCATATAACAAGACGTTGCAATAGGGGGAAGGGGAACACTACAGAAGTTGTTCCAACTCATAATATGATATCTAATTATAAATACCTTTCGCGACGGTCCTGAGCCAGTCCTAGTTGGTGTTGGAGCATCAACCTAGTCCAAACAAAAGTTAAAATTTTAAATTACACTACCTCAGTCCATGCATCTATCAGAGATACAAAGATTGGAAGAAGCTCGCAACCAAAACAAAAGGCAAAATTAAGCATCATTCTATCAAAAACATCGTCTAGTGAAGCCTTGAAAGTTAAAAGACAAACAGTCAAATGATAAGGCCATGAATAACAAATATGAACTACAGAAATTCAAAGTAAACCAAAATGCGAAATCTTCCTTGAAGCGAAGTACGACGTCAAAAGTTATCCAAGATCAAAACAATTCTAATCAGCATTATTGCATCCAACAAAGCAACAAACTTCTAACTTTGAAAATCATGTAAACTGACTATAGGAACTCACTCCTCATGAAATTAGATGTCCAGTATGTCAGACTTTTTAGCCCAAAACAAAGATGTCGAATATTTACGACATAGAAACACGAAAAAAAATGTCACAGTAACCGAGACATGTACGTAGTACTAACATAGTTTGATACTAAGGATGTAAACAAAAAAATGATTACAATAATAGGGAAAGACAAATGTTGTGCATTACCTCATCAAACTTCATGAAATTCTGGGTGTCCAGCTCCCCATTAACTTCTGGCTTATAAGCAGCCTCCATTTCATAGAGTTTATCCCATTCGACATCTTTAAACCAGGGATGAGCCTAATAAATATTTTTATGAAGTTAAAAAGACTTTATAATCATATATATTTCATGAATTAGCAACTGGAAAAAAAAACTTCTAAAAAAAGAACAAAAAAAAAAAAAAAAATAGCAGCCAAGCTAACCCAGCACACCTTTATTTGATCAGCTCCTCCAGTACCAAGCCTATGTTCAACGTCACATAGCAATCGGCATATAAGATCTTTTGCTTCAGGGGACAATTTGGCTTCTTCTGGGAATTTTAAGTGATTTCTCCAATGAACAATCTGCCAATCATTGATAAACAAATTAATCAGCAATAAGACCTCAAGAACCCAGAGAAAAAGAAAACAGTAACATCAGAAGCACAAGGAGCAAGCAAATGCAAATGCATGGGTCAGTAAAAGGGGAGATATAGCCAAATAAGGAAGAGAGATTTGGAAGATGCCACCAACTTTTGAAAGAGTGGTAGTCAATAAAAACAGTGAACCTAAAAGTAAAATTTAGTTTTTTTTTACTTTTAGTTTTTAAACGTACTATCTTTTGAGAATTTTCTCCATAGTTTATTCCTACAGACAAGAGAGCATCATTGTTATAAAGATAAACACAAATCTGAACCAAAAAATTCTTACGTGGTGAGTGCATCATTGTTGTAAAGATTCGCACAAATCTGAACCAACAAATTCTTACGTGGTAAGAACGTACGGCTACACAAGCAAGGATGCTCAGGAGAGAATGCCAACTTACCTTTCTGCATGCAGTTAGAGGATCATCTGAATAGAATGGTGGGTAACCCATAAGCATTTCATACATAATTGCACCCAGTGACCACCTGTAGTTGAGAAAATATAAAATTCAAAGACAATCTTTTCAACAAAACAATCAAACAGGTAGAAAACTTTTAATTCTGCCTATATTTATTTCATCCATGTTTCTCAATGAAGATTAGACTAACCAGTCACACTCCATGCCATATCCCTTCTTCAGCAGTACTTCTGGAGCAATATAGTCGGGTGTACCCACAGTTGAAAATGCCTTTGCATACGAGAAAAGCAAAAAATAAATTCACAATCAAAACAACACATTCAACAAAAAAAATTTACGGAATGAGGAAAATGCAATATGCTACTACTTCTACGCTCTCAGGTTGATATGACGTCAGTAAGGATGGACGGACAACTTTCTGAAGGAGAGCAACAATGCAGCCCTAAGAGCTGTAAACATGTGACCTGAGGTCTCAGATTTAAAACAGCCTCCAACAGAAATATTAGTTAAGGCCTCATGGCCCAACCCTTCCCCAACCTTGCAATCTTGCACAATTGGCAGCTTTTATGCAAATGGCTGCCTCTTTTCAGATAGTCGGTGATGTTTCTTATAAAGTTGGGAGTTAAGTTAGAGCAATATTTTGTGAAGTCGGGTTGTTGTACAACCATACAGTTGTTTATATGGAAACTAAGTAACATTTCTCCAGTTTTTTATGGAACCTAGGGTAATTTAAGAAACCCAGATGGGAAAATGGATAATAAAAAATGGGCATCCTCGTAAGAATACTTACCAACTTCCTCCTATTCATCTGCCAATGCTGAAGCTGCTCCTGAGGGCTTTTCCAATTACTGCCATTGCTAGCATCTGGGAAGCAGCTGTCAACGTCCATTGGGTCTCTCACATTCTCATCATCCATGGCTTCATTTTCATTAAGAGTAGATAAAGTTCTAATCTCGAGAGGCTTACATAGACCAAAGTCTGAGAGCTTCATGTGTCCATCTTTGTCAAGAAGGAGATTGTCTGGTTTGATATCTCTGAAAAAAATGAAAATAGCACTCAGCTCGGTGCCAGCAATTTGGTATGTCCTTTTTAACAGCAAAAGTTTTCATCATACATACCTGTGAATGTAATTATGCTTGTGAATGGACTCTATAGCCAAGACACTTTGAGCAATATAAAACTTAGCTACATTTTCTGACAATGTGTCTGCTCTCATCAACAATGTCATCATATCCCCTCCAGGAAGATATTCCATTATAAGATAAAGATACTCAGCATCTTGAAATGAGTAGTACAACTTCACAATGTAGTGACTAGCCACTTCTGCAAGCAAGTTCCTTTCTGCTCTAACATGTTCCACCTGTAAACAGAAGTTATGGAAAAGAGAAGATTAGCATGTTCCATCTGTCAACAGAAATTGTTTTGAAAAAGGGATAGAGAAGCAAATAAAAAGCAAGAGATTAAGATAAACTTAAATCTAGTATCCCATGGTTTAGGATATGTGTGAAATGCCAGCCTATGCTTCATATCTGGTTATACCTTAAATAAAGATTATACCATAAATAAATTTCATTGGTTATAATATATAATGAACTTGATTCCAGGCCATTTCAACATATTCTAGATTCGGAAATTGGCATGTCTGAAAACAGCAACAAGTCACAGTACAGTTCAATTTTAGAAAGTTGAAAGATAAAGGAAGTAATTTTGCTCATTCACCTGTCCTCTCCTGACCATTTCAGATTTCTTGAGTTTCTTCATAGCATAGATATTGCCCGACTTTTTCTCCCGACAGAGACGTACCTGCATTGTGGAAGGGTGACATGCATAAGAAGACATACGATCTTGGACCATTTGGAATACTTATTAAATCTGTGAATGTGGAACACAGAGGAGAAGACTAGAAGCATGTAAGACTTTGAAGGCAAGGCGGTCAGCATCCTTCATCAAAGAAAATACACAAAAAGATAGGATGTCGGTGCAAGTTCCATGTTGTCAGGTTCATCTAACCTCTCCAAAGGCACCCCTTCCGATGATGGTCAGAAGCTCAAAATCATCGACTGATATCTTGTTCCTTTTCAATCTCATATATTCTGTCTCCTTTCTTTCTAAATCTTTAATCCGATTTAGCTGTTCTTCCTTTGGCACATCCGAAGCTGCTAACTGCCGCTCTAGAATCCATCGCCTACAATTCAAGATCATAAGGTTCTGAGTTAGACTTAAACACTAAGCTCTGAGAATTACACAAGACATTTATGCACAGAAATAAAAGAATTGATGATAAGCCAATGGAGTTTAGTTCTTTCTAATTATAGAGATGACATCACACGCCCAGTCACACCTTCCTTTTGTATACCTCATGGAAGGAAAAGTGCCCCTTAAGCTACAGAACTTCAACTAGCTCAAAAAATTAGCAATGACCGCAATATACATTCAGCAATATCGGTTTGTATTATCACCATAATTTGATCTGCCCCTCTGCATACCTAGAGAATTAAGAACACAAACCTCATCCCTAAAGCTGCTTCGACACCCCCCACCACCACAAAACAAAAAAAAAAAAAAGGACCAGAAACAAAACAAAACAAACATGCAAGAACCGTCACCAAGAAAATGCAAGGAGGGTAACCCCATTTTTGCCATCCAACAGACAAGTCCTTCTCTTTTTCCAATTTAGAGCATTAGAATCTGAAGCAGGATTAGCTTTAACTCCTAGAGCAATTAAACACAATTAAAGAGTGAACTTCCCAATCAAGAAACCAAAGCTAAAATCCGCAAATCATCACTGACACTGGATCTTGGAATTACTGAACTAATCCATTGAGACCCCCTTGAACTACAATTAAAACACTTTACATGCTATCCAAAACAAGATTAAGTAATCGTTCAACAGAAGATTGAACATTACATAATGGGAATCAAAAAGCGAGAATAAGAAGAAAAGTACCGTTCTTTGCGCTCTTGAATGCTTTTCATCTGGGTTTTGTAGTGATTCTCAATAAACTTTTTAGCAGCCGCAACTTTCTCCATGGTCAAGCTGGAACCTAGTATTTCATCTTCACTGTTATTGTTAGTATTGCTCACAATTCCTCCCTCCTCAGCCTCCATTTCCTTCTTCAACCTCCCAAGTCAATACTGGTAAAAACTTGCTGCTTCAAATTCCTCTGGCCACAACCCAGAAAGAGCAGTGGGATTATATGTATACTTATCAGTTGCCCCCCAAACTCCCAACTCTACTTAGTGGGAACAGGGATTAGATTCATGGTACATAGTAGTATATTCTTGTCCTAATTTTACAAGAAACAAGAAGGGAAGAACACAGTATACAAGGAAACCTGAAGAACCCACTTGGATTCTTTACCAAAATCAGTTCATCTGAGAGTAAGAATCAGCAGAGGAAAGGTTAAATGGTATGAAATTAATTGAAGTATATATTATTATAGGAGTGAGTGTACAGTACATACAGCTTAGCATATAGGAGTAGAGTACATTTATTTATCTTAGTACTTGCTTGTGTAATGTTGCAGTGGTCATAAATTCATATTAATAAAAATTTTCTTAAAAAAAAATTAATCTTTTTTCTTAATTTCTGGAAAGAAAAGAAAAGGAAAAAAAGGGTTTGGATCTGATGAAATTGCCAGGTCCTCAATAGAACTGGCATCTCTGTGACAGCTGGCAATGTTTGGGGCATGTTTGGTTGGATTCGGAGTTCCCATTCTTTCATTCATAATTCTTTTTCTTCTCTTTTTTAAGCTCCTTTTTTGTCTTGAAAGACATACCACTTTTTCCTGTTTATGGGACAAATGGAAGATATATGTTTTTCTTGCACCAAAAATATTGATGGTTTCCGGGCAGTTCGAAGGAATGGAGAACGAAATTTTTACCCACACATTCCCTCCGTTCCACAAAAATAGTTCACGTTGAGTTTTGAGTTTTGTACTGTTTTTAGTACAAATTTAAAAACTCAATGTGAATTATTTTTGTGGGGACGAAGATAGTAGTAAATTTTGGTTAAATGTAATGGCCTTGGGTTGGTTTGTGATCTCTTAATTGACATAATAATAAGATAATGGATTTTCTATATTGAGTTAGCTTTGTAGATGAGGCGAATTTGTGCTTGTTTTTGTATGCATTTTGCGCTTTTAGAAATTCAATGGATTTTGTTGTATGGTACATGTTTTCACAAACCAATAAAATCTGCTATTGATTCAAAAGTGATATAGAAAGTAGTTAAAGTTCTTTACGGTTACCACATTATCAGGGAAAATTAGAGAAGCGGTGTTTCGAACCTTTGTATAATGTAATAATGACGATATATCTTGTTCTTCTTTTTCTGTTAGTTTCCTCTTTCGCGTTAAAGTAATCAGCTAATGAACTTTTTTTGGAAATTCTGTATCATTTGTTAAGTCATCTATTTCGATTTGCTTAATTGCTTCTACTCATTTTCTAAAAGAACAATATCTTGATTTTTTTTTCCTGTGATTTTTTTGCATAATTATTCATTAGTATTTCACTTCCTCCTTTCTAAAACGAGTATCGTAACATAACTTATACACAGTTTAAGAAATTCTTAAATAGGGTAAAAATATTATTACAATATCATCAACCTACTTCATTAAAACAAATAGTTACCATTAATACTATTTTCTTTGAGGATAATTTTAAAAATTTGGCCAAAAATTACACTAGAATAAAAAAAAAACAGCATTTATTTTAAAATCTTTCTTATTTTATTAAAAAGACAATTATTTTTAGAATGGAAGGAGTATTTGAGTGACCTTGTAATCCACGGTGATATTTAAGAAAGTGGATGTATGTTTTCTTTCAACATGATCAACTTAATTTTGTGAAAATGCATTAATAGGAAGATTATAATATTGACTCGCCTTCTAATCACATATTTGGAGACACCATAGATACTGAAGGCACAGTTCTATGTTATGTTTTAGAGATGATTGGGCGTAATTTGTATTATTGCTCACCCACACAAGAATTCTGCTGAAAAAAAAGAGCCACAATGTGTTTCTCAAAATTAAATTTCAATCATTTAGACTATCAACTGGAATACCTAAAGTGTATAAAACCTAAAGCATTAAAACAGAATTAAGAGAATCACATATCAAACTGACCCTTAAGGTTTAAACTCCAACAACCCTAAACAAATCAGATTTGACCGTTCTCTTTAAAGTATCTTGTTGTAATTTCGCTGTTTTGACTGGTAATCAATCTATATTGTGAAGAAGTTGTTCCTTCTAAGGAGAGATTAAAACGAAATCATCTTTATCTTGATGGTCAACTTGACCAATTCAAGAATTAATTTTGCTGGATATATAAAAATATTTAATACTCCCTCCGTTCCAAAATTATTGTCCAGTTTGGATTTTCACTTCTAGTACAAATTGAACTAAAAATGAAAATCTAAACTGGACAATAATTATGGAACGGAGGGAGTAACAAATAGTTATATCTCAGGACCACATTATTGAATGATTCTATCTCAGATACTATACCCTTTATAAATTTGTTCCGCATTCAAAGTATAGGTTCAGGTTTCTTTTGTTTTTCTACAGAAGGGCTACGTTTGTTTCCATCAATTTTTTTAGCAAGAAAATGTTCTCATCTGAAAATCCCTGATCCACGATAAGAGTATTTTGCAAACAATTTAGGATTTTCTAAACTTAAAACTACAACGAAAAGTGACACTATAATTTTGTATCATTCTATAAAATTAAAAAAAAAACGAGAAAATCATTTTAGAATGAATGAAATACTCGATTAGATACAAGTTTCCTTTTAAAGAAAGTGATAATTTTTTTTAAAAAAAAAATAATAATAAATGAAAACAACATGCATGGTTTCCGTGAGGTGATAATCAAAATCAAATTATCCATCTTTCCGAATCTCAACTCTTCAACCTTCATTCATGTGTATTATAATCACTAACCCTATATATATATATATATATATATATATATATATTATGTTAACATTTTAAGGATGGAGGGAGCATAAAAATTGTAGAAAATCAACCCCTCAACAGTAACTAAAGACACTTCATAATGTGTATGGAAAGAAAAGCAATGCGACAAATCTTCAAGGTTTAAAAGACAAAAAGAAATCAAGCAAAAAAAGAAAGAAATAAATACACTAGGGCAATCTAGCTTAACTTAGGTGTAGATGCCTATGTATGGTTAGTTTTTGTTCAGTTTTTGCTCTAAACCAAGCAAGAATCCAATGTCAATATTTATCACCAGATTTTCCCTTCTCTCCCCATGCTTTTGTATGTTTTTTTTTTGGTTTCTTTTCTTCTTTTTTTAAAGGGCGCAAAGCTTTTATTACAACTTACAAGTCACAAGTTCAATAGGAAAATATTTGCAAAAAAAAATAAAATCAAATAAAATAAAATTAGCTGCAGAAACTGAGAATTTATTAAGAAGAGAAGAAGAGTAACCCATATGGAGCAGACACAAACATATGGTCGGTCGAAACGTGCTCTCAGTATGAACAAAATGCAAAGTGTCAGTCATAGTCAGACCACTATATACCCTTTCTATTTGTATTTATTTATTATATGGGCTCTTTTTTTTCTTTTTTTTTTGGGAGGTGGTGTTTCTCCAATTATTATCAGCTTGACCATTTTTGGAGCGCCTTTTACAGCAATATTTTCCAGGTGATGTTTACTGTTTAGTTGACTTTGATTTTTGAACTGTTTCAGTGATACATTTAATTGATTCACTTTTAGACGACAACTACAAAATGAACAGAACAGATAATTTTGACCCTCTCAAGTTGTCTAACCATTGGATTACCATTTCTCCCTTTTATGTTTATTTTCTTCTTAAATTTTGATGCTTCAAGTCACACAATTAACCACAAAGATTCCTCCCATGATTCAGGCGGCCACCCGCTTCAGCACAAGTGCACAACACCTTAAGGGTTTATAAAAAGTCTCATTCACATACTTGTATTAGAATCAAATCGTCATTTTGCCTCATTGGTTACAAGTAAGCAAGTTCCGAATGCAAATTAGAATCGGTACCTCATCTACTATACAACATAACTAAGTGGTCAACACCACTGTTTTTCCTGTTATCACAAAACTAAAACATTTCCCTAAACCATCATTTAGAAAAAAATAGGAGGCGGTCAGAGGGGGAAAGAGAAGACTGCACTATTGTTCTAAGGTTGTATACTCAGGTTTCAACCCATGTCAAGCTTCCCATAATCAAATATTTGCCAGGGAGTTCTCCAGGGCCCGGTGCGAGGTATGTGATTTTCTTCCTGAAAGTGATCAAAGATCAAACAGTTGGTACCATTTCTCGCATTCAAGTTATTATATATTCAATCAAAAGGAGAAGATATTAGTTCAAACCTCTGAACATCAACCTCCGTGATATAGATGAATCCAGCAACATTGCTGCCCAGCAAAAGACGCAAATACATAAGCAAGAAGACAAAGTGATAGCCCATACTACCTTACTCGGAATCAATACTAATTAAAATAACTAAGCACTTGGAAGGCATGTATTAACTAAGCACTTGGAAGGCATGTATTAACTAAGCACTTCCTTTCAAAAAAAAAACCTAAGCACTTTCTCATATTCAATGACAACATATCCTTATACATATAGAGAAAGATCAGATCAAACCTTATTAAAATATCATGTAGCTAAATGATGGAACAAGGTCTCAACTCTGGCTGATCACTTGGTCCAGTTTATTATTTATACGATGTTGTATGAAAGAATTTTGTCCATCAAAGTTACAGCCCTAGTTTCCTAGAGATAATATGATGCCCATCTTCCAAATCCATATGTAAAAATATTAGTTGAATAGCTTCTGGACAAGGATTTGATCTATTAGCCAAAATCGCTTATGAGCAATGACAACATAAACCATGTAGTCTATATGCTGTTGTTTCCACCGTGCTCACATTAGTTCGTTTCATGTGTGTTTAAATAAGATTGGCACAATATTTTGGTTCGAATAAAAGACTCCAAAGATTTAGAGTGTTTAGCATTTACCTCGAAATAATTTGATCGGGTTCTTTGGCATATGAGACAGCAAGAACCAGATGGAGTAGGTCCCTGTTAATGTTAACCAGAACTAATCTGGTGGGATCAGCAGTAGGTTCCGCACCAATTGGTAGGGCTGAACGAGGGGCTGGTGGTCCGCCACCAATTCGATAAATGGACAAGTCGCTAAAATTAGCAACACTGGAATGTGGAGAAAGGTCATTTGAAGGTCCATAAAAGTACTCCTGAAACAAGGAAGTAACACAAATTACAGAAGAGCTACAACAAGTTGTCAGAGGCAAACATATTTAAGTACAATGCGGAAAGTTATGTTTACAATCATCAAAGCGTAACTTAAAAGTTAAAACTACACTTACCCGTATCCTTCCACCCCTGGCCCTCTGACGCACTTTTGGATTCCTTGACACTACACCACCAGATTTTTGAAGTTTCACCACATCCACATTTGGCTTGCTTTTCAATACATCTTTTAGCATGCTGCAAAGTTTCTCCTACAATAAGCTAATAGCAATAAGAAAATAGGATAAAGAAAATTTGACTGGATATCAAGCAATGCACATTGTTATAAATCTTAAGGGCGAAAGGAAGGACGACAGGACACCCTTTTCTCTCTAAACTTCAGTCCCTTCAAAAAGTCAGCCAATTTTATTCTCTCTGCATTTGTACTGGACAGAAATTCATAACAGTGTCACTAGATGTCCAACTATATGAGCAAATATTTCACTGATTACAGGGAATATTTTCGATGAAGGGAATATGTTGAAAATTTTCACTAGAAGGTAGGCGTACCATCTCTTTTGCACTCAAAAGATAATACATGCTGTACAATAAACTTTGGCAACCATGGCAAAGTTATCAAAAGCTACCTATTCATACAGCACCAACTTCCAAAAACCACAAACAAGACACCACCTATTCCCGTACACAACACTTTCGGAACCATGGCAAAGTTATCAAATGCCACCTAGTTGTTTGTCTGGAGTCTATCAATGCTAGATCAGAATTTTAAGGGACACAAATGGTGAGAAATAGTAATCAAATAGTACCTGACCCAATACCAAAACAACGGAGGCATTAAAAGCGTGAATTGCATGAAGCAGCAACTGCAAAAGTGGAAATAACAAAGAATATCAGATAACCAAAAGACACTGTATTCGAATTATGATGGGAAATAGTAGACACTTGCATCATAACCAACACCATCGATCCATCCCATTGTATTAATAACCATGCCAGCCGCTCGAGATTCAGTGTTCATAGAGAACTGCTTGTCTAAAGTTTGAGCAAGCTCCTTAACCAGAACTTTATAGAGATCTACATTTGCCCTGCATCCAGGCAAAAGAACAAGAAGCAAAAAATTAAATTCAAAGAGGCAGAATACTATAAGCAAGTAGATCTCAAAAAACTGAGCCAACAACATGTAAGCAGCATGAAGAGGAAAGGAAAGGTTAGCTGCTCATACGTAGGGCTTGGATGTCCATGGAAATAAACTAAAGGCATCTCAAGTGGGATTCCTTCTACGGGGTCAATTGGCATCTCAATGGGCGTAGCAGCAATGCAACCAGGTATTGTTATAGATCCTTGGCCAATGTCTAAATCAACAAACGTGGGCTTCCACCCTTGCTTAGACGCCCAACTTAGGAGCATCTTAGACAATGTACTCTTTCCAGAATCTGTAGGTCCGACAACAATCACCCTGGGGCCCTGGTCAAAGACATGAGAGTATATAGAAATCAGTGAAAACTGCACAGATGAGAATCACTTGCTTAAAAGATGACAGATTAAAAGCCCACAAGAGAAGTTGTAACACATGCAACGAAACAAATACAAAAGTAAGAAGATACGTTCATTACATGAACATAAACAAAACAAGCACAGCAACCTACACAAAATTGACTGAAGACAATCTCAGGGGCAACGTCTTGCTGGCACCAGATTGGTGTGCAAGCAAGCTCCACATGAGAATGAAAACCTATTTTCACACATTCTTTTTTTACCTGAGAAGCATCAGAATCACTTGGTGAAGCTTTGGCCTGATTCCTTCGTCCCTCCAGTACTGCATGCACGTTTACATAGCTAATCATTGGCGTCTAGAGCAAAGAAGGCAAATACTCAATATATGAGAGAATTGAAAACATCAAATATAAAGGGATGAAAATATCTTCACACTAGGTGGTATATCCGATAAATCAACATCACATGGCCTCTTGTCTACGGCCAAAAGAATACATTCAACAGCTTTCTAAGGGCAAATAGAACTTCCTAGGACACGAATCTAGTAAGCAGTTCTAATAGTTGTTGGATATCCACATAAAAAACCTCGCATGACTTTCAACTCTTTGAATGGCGGAGTCCTAATTTTCAATATCGACTAATTGAATTTGATGCTAGAAGACAAAATTGCAACTCATGTTCAGGCATAAACTCATCTAACATAGGCTGAAGAAGCAGACAAGAAAGCAGCATACTGCATACCTCATCAGCAGTATAGTCTGTCTCGGTGGTACCATCCATTTCAATCATGGCTCCATACCAGGTAAAAACCTGGTACAGTCAACAAAGCAAAAGTTCAAACTATGAGACTCAGACTCATTCCATAATCGTCAAACTGATCAAACATCAAAATTCCACCAAAAAAATGCATACGACAGTGATATGAGATTCAAAAGCAATTAAAATGGAATCAGCGGATAGAGAACCGTTAAGTTCCTTACAGCAAATTTAAGTCTCGGGGGGAAAGAAATCCATATTTCAGGAGGGATTTCAGTGCCAAAAATCTCAGCCGAGCCAGTGAGAACCCTAAGGCGAAAAGGGGTTTCTGCAACTTCAATCCGAAGTTCAGATTCTTTATCCAATTTCACTTGCCTAATCGAACTTACTGGGCCAGCCGATGCTGCCGGTGCACCTAAACCTGCGCCTGGATAAGCCATGGAATTAGGCCTCTGCTCTGTTCCTCCACTCTCTCTCCCTTTGGCGGTGCAAATAAGAAGCCGTGGAGTCACACCTCCCCAGCTTATTAAGAAGAGCTTTACGGTATCCGGTTCAAAAATTTGAAGGCGCGGTTCTTATTACTACCATCAGAATTGCTACTTTTTGAACTCATTTATGCCTTATTATTTTTTTGTTAAAAAAAAAAAACAAAACAAAACAAAACAAAACAAAAGCAAAAACTATGGTCTTGTTTAAACAGATACTAATGTTATAACATTTGAAACCTATTTAGTAGTTTTTATGTTTATTTTTATTTTTTTGCGTAAAGGCTATATTATAAACAGTGTTACATTACAATTCATCTTAGGTATGCAACTCCTACAATATCGTAGTTAAGTCATCAAAAAGTAATTTTATTTTTTCAAATAAACATCAATGTCATTTTAAAACAATCACATTATCATTATCTAATGTTAGCAGCTCAGTAAATCAGTGTTACCTAAATTGCTTATTGAAATAATGTAAATTAATACCCATGAACATATCTATTAAAGTCATTATTACCAAAAAAATAAACATAAAATGTCTTCAAAAAAATCCAAACCATAGCCTTGTGTACCCATAATTGCTTTAAAAAAAGGTACATATATTTAGTCATAAACATTGATCATTCAGCTGTTTTTTCTTTTTATTCATTGGGGCCCATTTTTTAAAATGTTTTATGAATTCATTTAGTAAATTATAGGGTGGTAATTCGGTCGATTCGGCTCGGTTCGACCGAGTTTGGTTCGGCCTAATCGGATTTTTCTTTGCAATTCATCCGACCGAAATTGAACTGAAGATTATGTGCCCCCGAACCAAGTCGAACCAAATAAGCAATCTGGTATTCGGTTCGGGGCCACTTAAACCGAAATTCAAAATGACTGAAATAAATTTCTCCTGATTTCAAGTTTTCAACAGTTCAAAGTTCAAACTTAAAAAAAAAAATCACCAGAAAAAAAACACCTGAAAAAATGTAAAGTTTTGTTCAAGAGTGTTCAACACTTAAACTAAAAGTCTGAATCTGTGAATCAGATATTCAGATTCTGATCAACAATTCAACAATAACATTCAACATTTCAACTCACTGGACACAATCCAGTGGCACAATCCACACACTAAATGTCAAATGACCACAAGTCCTGAAATCCATACAAATTTAGAACTTAGAAGTTTTAGAATCAAAATGACAGAAAGTCAGAAACTGATAAATAAATTGAGAATAACAATGCTGAAAAAGCAAGTTTTCAAGAGCAGAACTGAGAAGTCAGAACTGCAACTTCAGTCTTCACTCCTCAGCTTCAATTGGCAGCATACTTCACTACTTCAGCTTCATTTCAGCTTTCAATACTCAACAGTTCAGTTAGCAGCAGGCATGCAACATTGAACACTTAACAGCAGGCAACAGCAGGCAGTTCAGCTACTGCAGCCCAATTTTCTTCCCCTTTTCAGCAGCTGAAAAAAAAGAAGAAGAAAGAAACACTGAAACAGTCAGTCAAGTTGAAACTGTAAATAAACAACTGCAAATAAATAGCTGAAATGAATTAAACTGAAAATAAACAACTGATAAATAACTGTAACCTTCTTTTATGCCAAGGAGGTCTTTCCAACTCTCTTCAACACCTTCTTCTTCTTCAACTTCCCTCTGAAACCAATCCTAAGTGCAAATCAAGCACTGGACAGTCTTCAGAGTTAAAGAACTCCTAAATACATCCAATACCTTGCCACTTGTACTAAAGCATGATTCCGAAGCCACAGTTGAGACGGGAATAGGAAAAATATCACGAATCATCAGAGAAAGGATAGGAAACCTAGGGCTATTCACCTTCCACCAATTCAACAGATCAAAATTTGGATAATCCAGTTCATCATCCTCGTTCAAATACTTGTCGAATTCTGATTTTTCATTTCTGTTTAAAGCCCCACCAGATTATTCAACTTTCTTCTTCTCCAACTCCATCCTAAACTAATCTCTAAGCAGCTTTGAAGGCTCAATATCAATCGGGGAAGGTCGTTTCCCGATAAAGTTGCTTAAGATGAAATGGAATCAGAATTGGAAGGCGTACTAGAACTAGGTTTAGGGGCATGGATTCTAACATAATCCGCAAACAACTCATAAATGACGGTTTTAACAAATCCATATTTATTTTTCCCATCCACTACCCCATTGACCTGTTGAAATACAACTTCAATGTATTTCAACTTATTTCTTGGATCAAAAACACATGCCATCAAAACAGTAAGATTTATTGATGCAACAGAACCATAGTATTTATCAAACTTATCCTTCGTCCTTTGAGCCATCATTTTTTGAAATTATCATCAGTTTCATTAATGATTTTCATCAACAAAACATAAATGCAATGAGTATCAGTGAAGAAAGCATCCGAAGAGACAGATTTTGTACGAGATACCTTTAAGGTTATCTCGTAAAAATGCTGAAGCATACCAGCAATCCTCCTAACTTCTACCCAATCTATTGAAGTAGGCAGTCCAGGCCCAGAATTCGGCACTTCAGGATCAAACCTCAAAGTATGTTTAAAGTGCTGATTTCCAGTTTCATATCTCCTTAAAGCTCTTTCATACACTTGAGCAGTTTCTAGCATTAAATATGTACTATTCCACCTTGTACAAACATCTAATACTAGATTCTTAGAGCTACCACACTTCTCAATTTCAGCACATTTTTTAAAACTTGTCAATATTTTAGGAGACTGCCTAACATACTTAACTGCAGCCCTAATTCTATCAACAAACTTGCCTATATATGCCAAACTATCTTTAACAATCAGATTCATCACATGAGCCATATAACGAACATGCAACCATTTAGCACCCAATGCACAGTTTTCTCGATAAGCAAATTGCTCTTTCAAATACTCAATGGCAGAATCATTAAACGAAGCATTATCAACAGTTATGGAAAACACTTTTCATTTTCAACTTCCCAATCTAGCAAACAATTCTCAATTGCAGCCCCGATATCTAAACTCTTATGACCTGTAATAGGCACGAAACTTAAAATTTTCTTTTTCAAAGTCCAATTATTATCCACATAATGCCCATTCAAACACATATAATTAATTTGCTGCAAAGAAGTCCAAGTATCTGTTATGAAGCAGATTCTACTAACATTTCCTTTCAACTCAACTTTCAGTTTTTCCCTCTCAGATAAAAATACAGTTTATAACATTCATTAGCCACTGATTTCCTACCCTTAGGCACAAACTGTGCCTGCAACTTCCTAAGAAAATATCTAAATCCTTTTTTGTCAACAAACCTAAACGGCATTTCATCAACAATTATCATGCAAACCATTGCCCTAATTATTTCTTCTTCAGTATACCTCCAAGTACCTACACTCGAAGGTTTTCCATCCCCAGTTTCAATAACTAACTTACCCTGACCAGGACCATGGTTCAGAAATAAATATTTTTTACAAATACACAAATGTGCTTGAAGACTACTAGTCCCATGCTTTTTACTATCAGCCAAATAAGAATTACCACAGTATTTACAATTAACCCATAACACACCAGTAGCATCTCTATGAGTAGTGAAGTGAATCCATATCAGAGAGCGCTTACAAGTTACCTTGCACTTCTTCGGAACAATAGCAGCTTGCACTTCAGTCCCCCGATCCTCAATCTCTACATCTATCATCAATCCTTCATCATTGGGCAAATCCAGCAGAGGAGGAGGCAGTGAACCAGAACCTTTCTCAACTTCAATCTACTTCTGACATCTACACAGAAAAAAAAGTATTTTAGTACTCACTTTCAAAACAGCCAGCCAAAAATAGAGAAGCATATCAGTTAAAATAGAGAAGCATGCATATGTCAGTACTCAATTTCAAGCATTTCAATCACAAAACGAATCAGAGATATCATATTAGTATTGACAGTCACAAAAGGTATGAAGGTAATAAACATCAAAACAGTTGCCACCAAGTAAAAAAACTGGAAGCAATCAAGTATCATAGTTAACACAAATAGTAATGAACATCACATCATCATCTAAATCATTAACCACCACACCTAAACAGAGAACAAGACAAATTGGACAAACAATATACGCAACTACTACAACACACTAAACCAGCATACGTAGGTAATGCAGCAACACATTATAGTTGATACATAGATGCCAATACAATTTACAAAAAGTAATCACCATATTCAGCACAACAACACTAATTACAGTATTACACTACATAAGAACACACAACAGCTGAAAACTTTCAAAACACTGAAACAGCAGGCCAAAAACGGATAAATGGTCAAAAAAGTCTTACCTTGAAGATAGTAAAAGTCTTAAATTTCAATTCTCAGTCCTATTAATTGTCAGAAAACAAAAATAATCAAATTGATTCATAGTGGCCTAAAATAACCCCGTCAACTTGATAAACACTTAAGCAGTAGCCTAATGGCTGATGAATTTGCCTATAAAATAATAAAAGAAGTACCTTAAAACAGAAACACTCAAACACAAACCAAGTCTCCTGACTCCTGCTCCTGTATTTAAAGAAAACATAACCAAAATACTCAATAAATTAATAACAGACTAACAGTTGAAGGAAAACACTCAAATCAAAAAAATTAAAGAGAAAAAATGTTCTTATTTTTTACCTACATCCTTGATGATTTAGGGAATCTGAAAGTGGAGGGTGAGCTGGGTGAGGTCACTTTGAATTAGAATTCACAGAGCAGCAGCAAAAAAAACCTCCAAATTTGAGAGCTTCGAAATAGTGAAATCCTAAATCTGGTTTTGGGTTGGATTGGTGGTGGATTGGTCGATTAACAGGGTTGCGGAGGTGGGAAATGAGAGGAGGAGTCGTGGAGATAGATGAATCGAATCAATTAACCGTAAAAATCCCCAATTTGGGAACTCTGAAACTGAAATCCTAGATCTGGTTTTAGGTTGGATTGGTGGTGGATTTAGTCGATTAAATGGGATTTGGAGGTAGGAAATGAGAGGAGGAGTCGTGGAGGTGAATCTGGAGGTGGGTTTGTAGTGGGAATGCCGGCGGCGTATGGTCAAAGTCGACGGCGGTATATGGTCGAAGAAGAAGGAGAGAACGAAGGAAGAAAAAGGAAAATGAAAAATATGAAAAAAAAAATGAGGATGGCCTATATATATTTAATAAATTAAATAATAAAATATTAACTTATTCGGGTAGCTCCGAAAAACACTTATAAAAAACCGACCCCGAATCGTATAAGCTAATCGGTTAATCGGGTGGAACCGAAATTCTCCCAATTAAGCCAATTAGCCGATTGTCCGAATTCAGTTCGGGTTGGGCGGTTCGTCGGGTACGGCCGATAAAGGAGCAGTCCTAGTAAATTATATGTTCAAATTTGTTAATTTCTTTTAAAATAACTAGATGTTAAACCCGCGCAATGCGCAGGATTTATTTATATACACTATAAAAAATCTAAAAAAATATATAAAAAGTGTAAAATGAATTTTACTATTTTTATTTATAATCCATCAGTAATGTAGGTGTTTTGGAGTACATTTTACTATCCAAAATTTTACTATCTAAAAGTGGAAATAAATAGAGATAAAATGGGATTGATGATAATTGATTATCCAAAATTTCAGTGATAAAGATAAAGTTTATAACAACTTTTGAGATATCATTAAGAAAAGATTATATTTATTTGGGTAAATATGATATGACACAAATAAATGTATTAGTTTGAAATTCAAAAGATAACATTTAATTATAGTTAAATCCCATCCTTTTAGTAATAATTGAAGGCAAGTTTTTGGTACCTTTTTTTCTTTTTTATTGGTGAAAAATACAGGGTCATGTTTTTGGGAGAAGATTTTAAAGATAACATTAATGTTGAATGATTGAATTTTTTCTTTTTTTGAATTGTAGTCTATTGATTTACATGATTGGGAGAGAGATTTTTTTTAAAAGAAATTAATTAAATGAGTCCAGTAGTAACTTTGGGGATTCTTTTGGGGAGGGAATAATTCTGGTGCATTAATGTTCATTAATCCCGGGCATTAAATTTAATTAATTTTTATTTTCCTATTTTAAACTATAGTTTTAAATGCCATTTGATAAAACTTTATTTACATAAAATTTGAAGGACTATTAATTGTTGTAAATATTTTTTGACTCAACCATTAGAAAAATGACACAGAGGATTTTATCCTATGTGGCACCTTTAGAATTCTTTTTTGTTTTCTCTCTCTGGTTTCTCTCTTAGTATAACTAGTGATGTCTGGTCGCGCAATGCGCGACCCTGGCCCAATATATCTGTAGATCTTAGAAATATTTGTATCTGAAAAAAAAATATTTTGTATTTGGCCCGATATATTTTAGAAATTTTTGAAGAATTTAGAAATGTTTTATAAGTGTGATCATAGAAATGTTTGTATTTGGCAGAAAAAGAAATTGTATTTTGGTCCGGTACATTTTAGAATTGTTTGAAGATTTTAGAAATTTTTTATAGTGTTACTTCTTAAATATAAATAAACTTGATCAAATATATCTCTTGAATTAAATGCTAGACAAAATATGAAAGCATGCCAATAAGTTTAAATATTAGTAAGATAATTTATTGATGTTCTCCATTGGTTGAGCCAAATCAATACTTAGTTTTGGAGATTTATAATAGTTTTGTAGTAAGCTTCCTCCCAAGGGTATACGCTTAATTGTTGGAACTATTTCTTCCAAAAGTTTATAGGTAATAAAATATCAAAAATATTATTTTGAAACTGGTTAATCACAAATATGAGAATGAAAATAATGTAAATTTGCATATGTTTCAAGTTATAGCAAAAAAGAACTCACCTCACCATGGCAAATAAAGAAAAAAAAAAAAAGATAACCCATTAAAAATTGAGAAATTTATTTGTATAGAAACACAAATAAACGTAGAAACATCATTCCTTCCCTCTCCGCCTCAAATTCATAAAAGTTTCCCCATAAATTAATTAGAAGAAACGACCTGAACTATCTATACGACGAGGAACTAAAAAAAGTCTAAAAATCAAATCCAAAAAAGTATATTCTTGAAAGTCCGAACACAAAAAAAAAACACGCTTCATTTGCAAATATAATAATAATAATAATAATAATAATAATAATAATAATAATAATAATAATAATAATAATAATAATTGGTCAACTGGGAGTATGAAACAAAATCAAAAGCAATTAAACAAAGAAAAAACACACTTCATAACTGACCATATACGAAAAAAAAATGTCGACTCCATAATTAAAAAAAAGAAAAACCACTCTAATTGAATGAAATATAAAAAAAAAATTTAAAAACCAAATTTTGTAACAAAAACCCAATTAATGAATTCAATCCAAACAGAACTAAAATCATACATAAATTCTAGGCTAACTAACTATATAAGAAATTACATCATATTACCTGACAATGGCTACGGTAGCTGTAATGGATGGACGCATAAAAATAATAGTAATAACACTATTCTTGAATGGGAAAAATAAAAAATAATAAAAGCAAAACAAATGATCTGTAAAAATAAAATCATTTAAATTTTAATACCTGTAATTGCACCACCACAACGGCCGAAGGAAGATCAATGAGAATTTTTTTTTCCCTTTGTGTTTATATAGAGAGGTAAAAAGAATATTTTTTGAAGTTGAAATTTTATCCGATTAGGATGTAGTTGATCATCACTAATGAAAATATTAAACATGCTAATTGGAATGGAGTATATTTCACCACATATTCTCAATTGACGATTGATGAGGAATTTGTTTTTTTTTTTATTTTATTTAGGGAGTCCATTGTGGTAGAGATGGGGATGAGGATTTGGGTTTTTTATGAACCCATGGTTTTTTTTTTTGGCAAAAATAGGAGGTGGAGGTGGATTTGGACTGCATTCACCTTTTAAGTCTAGGAGATGTGAAAATAAAAATTTATTTTAAAAATATGATGTGAAAATGCCACATGGCAAACGGTGGTGCTTTCTCTTAAGTGTGGTTTTTATTTCTAATATAGTACTCCCTCCGTCCCATAATTATTGTCCAGTTTTACTAAAATGAAAGATTTTATTTTTAGTCAAACTTAACTATATTTTACCTTAACAATCGGATATACCCCTACATAAGTAATTGTTTAACCACAAAGATTTTAATGGATAATGTTTTTTACTAAGGACAAATGTGTAACTTGATCCATAAAAAGTTAAATTAGACAATAATTAGACAAAATTTTTTGGACAAAGTGGACAAACATTTATGGGACGGAGGAGTAAGATATACTATAGATAGATTATCTTATTATTTCAGATTTTAATAAAAACAGACGAGGAGACTGGAACATCCGGTAACCGACCCAAACTTAAATCCAATGCATGATAGCAGCAGGAGACGACGTCGTGATGATCCCTTCCCGCCACTGAGTGGTGGTGCAAGACCAGCTTCCGACGGCCTGGAATTGGTTCCGGCTTCAGAGCATATGGATCCCTACAACAAATACAGTCTTCCTCCTCATGATTCAGGTCTGTTAAAACCCTAGCCCCTTAATTGGTGTTTTTTTCTTTTCCCCTATTGCAGTCAAGACGTGCATCAATGTATGCATGAGTGCTTAACTTTCCCCGATTTCTGTAGAGCATTGTTGGAGAATTGCTGTAACTTTGAACGATTTTAGGATTATTAAGTATTTTATACTTTAAGAGTGTACTTGATGTACGTTGACATGCTTTAAAATTGAAATCAATTGCTTAGGATTGAACTAAATCAACGTTTGAGCCGTCGGCGTTTTGAATTTGCACTGTGCATTTTGTTTCTAGGAATGCGTAGAGTGGAATATTGTTTGTAAATGGAAAACAAGAAGTGCTACATTTGAAGTCCTGATGAACGAGCGTAGAAAAGAATTCTTTTCTTGATCATAGGTTATATGTTGTAGCAGGAAAAAGGGTAATTCCAATTAGACTTGGATGGGTTCATTTGGGAACAAAAATTATATTAGCAGGGTGTATTTCTTATTTGTTTGCTAATGCATTCCACGCCTTTTTTTTTTTTTTTTCCTGGAGAGGGGTTTAATTAATGACTCTCTGTAGGAGAGAGCATTGGAAAACAAGCTTTCCTGGCTACTTATCGTCTGAAGCATCTGCTGTAACACATCACCATCCACGGTGCTCTATTGATGTGAGGAACAGTTAAAACTTCTTAGATATAAATGTAAGATTTTGAAAATTATAGACTTTGACTGCATATTGACAGGCTTACAGATATTCAGTGAGTGGAATTATTTTCCTAGTCTTGTTCAGGTGCATATTGCATTGATGATTTCAGCGGTTTTCATCCAGAAGCTGATCATGGTGGAATAACAAGTGGAAGCAGCATTAGAGGGATAGATAATGGCGGGGTTTTTCATCCTGAAGTTGATCATGGTGGATTAACAAGGGGAACCAGCATTAGAGGCATAGATAATGCCGGAGGTTATCATCCTGAACCTGATCATGGTCGAGTAGCAAGTGGAACCAACATTAGGGGCCTAGATGATGGCCGGACCTTTCATCCTGAAGCTGATCGTGGTGGATTAAGAATTGGAAGCAGCAATAGAGGCATAGATGACGTCAGAGGTTATTGTCCTGAAGCCGATCATGACCGAGTAACAAGTAGAACCAGTATTAGGGGACTAGATGACGGCAGGGGCTTTCATTCTGAAGCTGATCATGGTGGATTAACAAGTGGAACCAGCAGAGGCATTGATGATGCCAGAAGTTACCATCCGCACGCTGATAATGCTCAGTTAACAAGTGGAACTAGCAGTAGAGGGTACCCTTCCCCCTTGGGAGGTCCCATCTTACAAGGGCAAAGGCTTGATGCTGTTCCAATTCCTAGTAAAGAATCAAATATTCTTTTTGTTGACAGGCTTCCAACAGATTGTACGAGAAGAGAAGTCGGGTGTATCCTTAGTGCTGCCATTATTGTTTTTCCATTATCATTGAGCTTCAGATTGTTCTTTATTTTCCTTTCATGTCCATTCTGTTTGGCATTTGTGACTGATATCTTGGTGGTCCATAGGATTTATTCAAGAGTTTTAGATATTTTTCATTTATTCTAAATTGTTCAGCAATATGGGGTTTGTTTTTGTTCTTCATTTTCTTTATTTATTTTGAATCCTTAGCCTGTGAACAGATCTTTTTCATCCTTTCATTGGCTTCAGAGAGATAAGAGTCATCCACAAGGAGCCCAGACGTGTAAGTATGCTGTGTCAATTAGCAGTATTAGATTATTCTTTTCTTCCTTTTGAAGATTGGTTTACGGGATTATTTTATTTTAAAAGAACCTATTTCAGTTTCAACTGGAAAGTATCTTGCTTGTGTATGAAAAAGAATGTTGATGGCTCAGTTGTGTTACTATTGTTGGTTATGAAATGTTGCTCTTCAGTGATCACATTAACACCTCTGTATATGTCTTATTCCCTGGTCTCAATGCAACTTCATGTATGCTATGCAACTTATTTATGTCGTTCTGGAAAACACATTTGTATGGGCACAGATAAACCCATTGTTACTCGTTGAATTTATCTAACGTTATAGCTCTTATGAATATCTCATTCACGGTATGTTTCTGTAGTATTATTATTGATACAGGAAGAAGTTGTCATTTCCATTTCTGCTGTATGAATTCTTATATGTGTTGCAGAGTGGAGATAAATCCATGGTATTTTGCTTTGTGGAGTTTGCTGATTTGAAATGCGCTTTTACTGCTATGGAAGCCCTTCAAGGTTCTCTGTAATTGCTTTTCTAGTCTACTGGAATAGATATGTTTTTGGTTGCTTCTAGTACGCATAACTATCCCTTCATTTTCTTAAGTACTTTGTTTTGATAAAAAAGTACTTTGTATGCTTTAGAACTTCCCTGGTTAATAGGGATTAGATGTTGCAGGGTATAAATTTGATGACAAGAAATCTGACTCCCCTGTGTTGAAGATACAACATGCTCATTTTCCCTTCCGCCTCGCGTCTGACAAGGAGGTTCAGCCATTTGGAGGATTGCGATGACTCAGATGGTACTTGTTTTAGTTTCTTTAGTTTCGAGGTAGTTAATGATACTGTTGTGAATAATGAATCTTTTTCCAGTTAGCACAAATTATGTGATACTCAGCTGTATCCGAATGATACTGTTTGATGATTATGTTATTTCTTCATCTGAAAGGAATCATCTCATTCAGTATGATGGGATTTTCGCTAGGGGAAGCCAGAGTTTTTCTGGGTTTGTTCATTGCTAAATCAACTCTTCTGTGCCTGAAGGTATCAGGATAATCATCTTCATGTCCTTTGAAGGACCTCATAATGGGTCTACGTTTGATCCCGTCATGGTGACTGAGACTTGTAATTATGATTTTTATTTTGCTTGCCTGTAACAATAATTAGCAGTTGAATACTTCTGTCCAAAGTTCTTGCTTCGAAAGAAAAAGGAAACTACGATTTACTCTTTTCGTCCTGTATTGAGAGGTTTTATTAGCTACTGAATGAGTAAACCAATGCCGTCCTCTATTTTGCATAAAACCAATTGATATCAAGTCGGGTGAAATTGCAACTTCGTTTACCCGTATTGACCATCCTTTGGTTTGGGGTTTTGGGCTGCTGACAATCTGGGATTATGTCACCGTCTTGGATTAATTCCCGTAATGTGAGTACTGTTTTTCCGTCATGGGCAGAGGTTGCTGCTACCGGTCAGGGCTCAAGTCTCCACTACGTGTGTCATTTATAGCACGAAATTTTACCAAGTGGAAATACTTTCCCAGGAAAGATGCTAACTTCTGACAATGATGAGATCTCGGGTGCCTGGATAGTGGAGACCCATCAAATGATTGATCTCCCGGGAACATCCAAAGGGAGATATGAAAAAACTTGATCTTATGCTTTCAATGTCCAGGAAGAACACATATCCCTTCATTTTTAGCTCAGTTGTCGGTACAAATTTATAGATAAATAATACTACAAAACAGTAATGCTTAAGTATCACAGAGTCGTAAGACTTGTATATACATTTTAACTTCTTGGACAATGTGAAACCCGCTAAAAACTTGGTTAAGCATTTCAAATCTGTGATCTGTCCTATGTAAACTTCATCAGGCTGCTGCAACAATTCTTACAACTTACAAATACAAATGGCTTCACTATCTTTTGAAACTACGGTTACGGTTATCTCACTCCACTAAATATCCTGGCTCATCACAGTTTCCGAGACTCAACATTGCATTAAAACTTGTAAGAGACTTTAAAGCTTTTGAGATTTCGAGGTCCTGAAAATGTAAATGTCAACTCTAAGTAAGCGATTTGCCAGCCCATTCTCTTTCACGTCGCTTTTGCTTGGCTTGCATTTTGTTGAACTTCTCTTTCCCTTTTTCCAGGAGAGGGTCATGCACGACATAGTCATTTGGATCATTACTCCGAGACATGTTATCCTGGAAAAAAAACAAAAGCAAATGTCATGATGCAACAGCAGCTTGGGCTCCCAAGAAAGTTACCAATATCACACGAAGTGCAAGCACACAAATCCAGGAAATCACAAGACCACCACTCCAAACTGAAAAAAATTAACAAGCCTACTAGTTGTCCACCTGTGCTAAACACATTTAACTGTCAAACAAACTCGTACTACACTAAGAACCAAAGGGAATCATAGAAGAAACAGACTGAATTCCGGTAACATTAGTGTCACATATGGCTCTACAGCAAAATAATTGTTAGAAAAACATTCCCCCAGGACTACAGATATTTAACCCCTATACTGTAGCTTAGCTTTGTTAGTACAAAACAAGAGAGCCCATGCATCATCTCCTTTTCACAATTCTAGATGATACACACCTTTAAAACGTTCCATATCATTGTATGCACATTCAGTGAACTTTTTAGTTTTAACGATTTTTTTCAACAGATTCAGATAAAGAAATTGATGAAATGGAGTGATCTGATCACAGAAATATATGTCTCAGAGCTAGCCCGGATACATTTGAATTGTCTCTTCATTACAGTCACAGCACAACAATATATACATAGAAGAGTGCAGATAGATAAGAAACCAAGATTTACCTTGCCAGGCTCAGGAGCAAACTTCAAAGGACTTTTCATCCAATCTGGCATCACCCCTATACCTCCTTCTTTTTCAACTTTCACCCCATTGGATTTCGAAGAAAACGCTGCCTTAAAATTTTCCAGTCTTTTGAGGACCTGATCATCACAAAGGAGAACTGTCATTTGCATGATGTACAGTATTGGCAATCTACAAAAAGCTAGCCATGATGCAGAATTTTTTTTAACATACTTCATTTTCCCTCACAAAGCATTACCAGAATCTATCTCTAATTTCACAATACTTTCAATGTCTTCAGTCAGCACAACCAAATAACTTGAAACAACAAACAAATTGCCATAACCTCAGGTCTCAACAAATCCATATGCACAGGAGATACTAAGTGTAGGAGAGGAATGATTTCGTGAAAAAGAATAGAAAAGAAAACAGTTGGAGAGGAAATTCAAGCAGAAAGTGTGATCACAGAATTCTGGGGAGTGCTATTAACAAACTATTAACTGTATTTAATCATAAAGTGCCATAGTGCATCACGTCAGGTGGCTCTTCTCACTCAAGTTTCTCCCTTCTTTGCGAATTTATCCTTTCATTTATCTACTATATTCCAAGAGAATAAAACTTATAATGATATTTTTTTTAAAACAAGGATAAAAAGCATAAGAAAATAAATTGATGACTTACTTCATCCTCCTGCCCTTGACGTCTACGCTTTTTTTGCTTCTGCAATGCCCTTTCTCTTTCAGCATTGTTCAAAAGTTGCAAATCTTGATCTGCATTAGCCATAAGCTCCGCTCTAGCTTCTGAACCCAGTCCTTTTTTCTTTAATGACAACTTATCCTTCTTCGGTCGTTCTTCGTCACTTTCCACAAGGGACCTGACAAGTTTCCATAAGTTTTCAAGGCTTCATACACTCAAGGAAGAGGAAATATGTGAAGGTTGATGATTATGAGTCTCGGAGATCAAGTCTTTACAAAACATGTCAAAAAGTTTCTCCAACAGGAGCAACTAAAGTATTTTGCAGGCTCTATCAGTAAAAACACTTTACAAAATTACTTCAACTCCTAAAATCACTTTTGTCATGAGGTACAAGTTCAGTCAAAATTACTGAATTCAAAATAGAACAATCCAAAAGTTTGTCAATGTCTCGTCAACACTTTGCATCATCTTTGATTCAAAATGTGCAACTAGTAATCTTTTGTTCCATTTGTCAAGTAATAAGAGAACCAAGACTAGCAAGTTCTTTTGTGAACTACAAAGGTCATAGATTAAGGGTCAACTTAAAATAAGAACCAGGTCCAAATGCTCTAATACTTTTATAAAGAAGGCAAGACTAAGAGGAAATACTTAAAACTTAAGACATATAGAGAAGTCAATATTAACATAGCTTGCCAAGTTAGAAGTGGACAACATGCAGATTAATTTCGTAGAAACAAAATGCCAAGATGGGAATATAAGTGGTTTTACCATATAATCTGAAAAATATTCACAGGGAAAATCGGCTGGTACACAGAAAAATTATTACCTTGGGGGAGTGCTTGAGCGTTTTCCTGGACTTGCACTATCTGAAATGTCACAAAAAGTTACAATTAGAATTTTAATAAGGTGATACACACATATTTCAACTAAATAGCAGCAGATAATACTAGAAATCATATCAATGTGTATCTAACATGAACTGGACAACATAGATATTCCGACCACCTAAACTGGAATATAGTTGTATATATCATCTGTAGACTATGTTATCCACCACACTCATCAACCTAAAATTGAGTTAAAACCAATTTCCGTAAGTAGAACCAAAAGAACTGCTAAATGCATAAACTGTCGGACTCCCTGAAAACAGAAGACAACCACAAGAGAAACCTTTTAACCACCTTAAAAAAAAAACCTGAAATTCCCTTATTCTACCATATCATCCAATTCTCCGTTAACATCCACCAAACACAAAACATTTTACTCCTAAATTTGATTACTATAACAACGGTTAGAATCAAAAGGTAAAATTTGAAACAGAAGTGCAAGAAATTTTGTTCATAAAATCCACCAATATAAAAGTAACAACTTGCCTTTTTGCTGCTTTTGCTTAGGGGGGAGAATATTAAGCCCCTTTCTTTTCTGCAATATTTGCCGGCGCATTTTTGCATCAAAATCAGCTTCACCTTCATCACTATCATCACGAGTTTCCTGAATTTCAGTATCTGGTTTTCCTTGCAGTTCTTCCCTCTTTGAACTAAGAGCTTCTCTGACTTTCAGCTGCTTATCCCTCAATAATTTGGTCTCAGAAGAATCCTGCCAAAGTAAATCCTTTGAAGTACATCCATGAAAAAGAAATTAAGTAATAAGACATCTTTTTCCCCAGGTAGATATTCTTACAGCATGCGGAAACATGTGATCCTCCATAACTAGGAGAATGAAAGTTTAGAAAGTTAAAGTGCAAGTGAAAATGAAAATTGCAACAAGGCCAAAAGAACGTGCAGCTAAGAGAAAATATCAGTAGAAGCATGAAGTATAGTGTAAAGTCTACGTTTTTAGACTTTGAACATTTAACGAAATAATTGCATGATCCAATCTTGATTGTGACTTCAAAAAAATTTCAGTTTTTTTCCATTTTGAAGAAATCTCAAAGCAGGAAAAGCAAAAGGTTGAAAAAATCATTACTTTCAGAAGGTAGACTCTCTTCTTCTCAACTGCCAGCAGTATCAACAGCTCAGTATTGCTAAGAAAGGTACGAAACCGGAGCATCAGAGCTCACGGAAAGAGAACTAAAACGACGATATGGCAAATAAGTTTTATACAGTCAACAAAAAGATTACAACTATGTTCAATTTCTGTTCTCCAAGGACTTCCTATTGTAACAGACCCAGGACTGCATACCACTGGCTACCTTGCAAACCAATAAATATTAACATACAAAAAAACTATATGACAGCTGCAACAATGAAGAACAACAACATTGCTCAAAAAATACACTACCTTGTCATTAGTATCCTTTGCATCTTTCAGAAGGCGTGGATCATCTAATACATCATGACTGCTCCTAATCTTCAGCTTCACAGTAGCCAATTCCTTCTCCTCTTCTTCTGCTTCTTCTCCAAATGAAAGCAGGTTCAACTTTCTAAAGAAAAGCATAAAAAGTTTTTCCAATCAGAATTAATAAAAATAACGTAGTATACATTTGATTTATGGGGTATGATATCAAACAGAGGAAGGAAAACTATACTTGGTAGTTTTTGTTTGAACATCAATCTTGCTAGCTTCAGTTTTAGAAGGCTGTAGAACCTTTGATACCCGAGGAACAATATCTTCAAATGGATTCCACAGTACCTGAAGAGTAAGTTAGAAGGAGAGAATTAGGAGAAAAAATCCCCACTACATCCAAATTTCAGTATGAACATCTTCCCCGTTCCAAAAATGCATTCAGTAGACAAGATGTCAACAAGTAGGGTGCACCAACATAAACTTAAAGCAAAAAGGATTAATTAGTACACAAAACATGAAAATAGATGCCAAGGCTGATGACAGAAGCTCGGGACAGAGCCGGTGCATTCTACAATACCATCTATGAAAAATATCTTAAAATATTGCCACTTACATGACAAATTTTTGAAAATCTACTACACAAATCCATGAACATATTTCCCTCTTCATCCTGGAATATGTTCAAAGTACCTAACCAGAATACGATCGACAGAAAATTCTTACGTAACTTAGGGATTTTCTGTAATTAAATCCTATCAAGATTAGAACAAACATATTTTTCACTTATAGCATGTGCATTTTGAGCAGATAATTAACGAGTAATTCAACTTGAATTAGTCAAAATACGGCTGAAGAAGTTACAACCCATGGTACACATTTCACTACCAGTAACGAAATGGTATTTTCACAACACATCTAACCAAAGATGGTACAGAAATTTAGATAACTAATACTTATTTACGAACAAAAATATTTTTCAAAGAACCAAGATTGTCTAAACCTTTCATCCTGACAAATATAGCTAAGAAAATTTGGATCCCAAAATAAAAGGCAATGCATATACCTCCGCTGAAAGTACTTTAGGAGGATGATCCACCGGCCTGTCATCCTTATCGGTTTCCACTTCACCTATTCTTAACAGATTATATATCGAATCCCCAGTTACCTACAACATGTAAGGGAACCACATTTAGGACAAACATAATATATCTTAAAGAAAATCAAAAGACTCCAATTGCCAACATTTTTGTCTAATTAAAGTGTTCAAGAGAGCAGGATTACCTTTCCGAAGATTGTATGTTTTTTGTCAAGCCAATCAGTGCGATCCAAAGTCATGAAGAATTGACTTCCATTAGTGTTAGGCGCACCAGCATTAGCACAGGCCACTAGACCTCTATGCTTAAACCTCAGCCGTGAATGGAACTCGTCCGGAAAGACACCACCATAAATACTCTCCCCACCTGCAAGTTGTACAGAAGCAAGATTGGGTATTAGGCAACCTTAAAACGTTAACAGCAAGAATACAGCAAAAGACCAAAGAACATTCCCAACAGTTACTCTCCCCACATGAGTAGTACAAACTAGAATTTTCCTTAGCAATATTCCCTACCCTTCAAAGCATATTCACACTCTCAGATATATTACACGAAAAACTATTTTTTCCTGCTTTATCCACGCTTCTCATATACTACTGTACATCAAATGCCAACAAGTTTAAAAAATATCTACTGTATTATAAAAACTCCAGCTATACTAAAAAAACTGCAATTAGGAAACAAATATAATGCAATTCAATGCCCTGAGTACCAAACCATATAAAACAAAGGGGAGAGGAAAGACCTGTGCCCGTAGAAGTGGGATCGCCGCCTTGGACAATCTCTCGCTTGATAATGCGATGGAAGATGGTTTTATCGTAGTAACCTTCGAGGCAGAGCTGGACGAAGTTTCTGACGGCTTTAGGGGCTTCCTTAGGCCATAGCTCAATGTCCAGTGGCCCGTAATTCGTATGCAATATCACCTTCCCCTTCGTCGGCGGCTCCAATACGTACACCGTCGACATTGTGACCTCCTCCTACTCCGACCACTTTTGGATTGATCGGCAAATTCGACTGATTATTATTATTATTAATTATCCTACAGCGTCAGTGAAAGAATGAAGCAAATTTGCTAGAGGCCTTCAAAAATCCCAATTATTTAAACGGCTTCGTCGATTATGAATACAGGGCAATTTCCCTCGAGGGCCCAACCGTCAATGTCTCGGACCAGTTTTTCACTTTTCACCGCTGTTTCCTCGGTCAACTTATTTACAGTGCTGTACAACCCACTAGAAGTAAATAAGTTTTACCTTATGGTCTAAGGTCAAATAGCAATATGTAGACAATAATTTTTTGAAACACCAAAAAAAAACATAATAAATATGTTTCCACAAATGAAAAAAAAAATACTCCTATTTTCTTTTATAATGGAGATATCATTGTGTGACAATTACTGCTCTTACCAATCCTACATTTGTTTCATTTCGACAATCCAATGTTAAGAAATAACTGTAGGTATCAAACGACTCTTCCCTAGAAAATTGAAAATGGGGTTAGTATATCATAATACTATTTTATAAGTTGTTTTAGTCATAAAAAAAAAGATCATTATCATGAGACGAAAAGAGTACTATTTTTAAAAAAAAATAAAAAATAAAAAATAAAAGAGTGAAGTTCGTAATATTAGTAATACTTTTTTGAAACTCATATTTATTCACGTTAAAAAGTTACAGGTTCTATTTGTTTTCTGATTTATCTAACAGGGGTTGTTTTATGCTTTGATAGGTGAATCCTAATTCCTAAAGATGGATTGTGGTTTAAAGTTCGAATGCATTAATCTAGTGACAATATTGAGTAGTACTAATCATGAAATTACAAGGTTATTAACACCTAATAAGTTAAGGGCTCATCAATAATTAGTACGTGAATAGTTAATTTAGATTCAATCACATAATTTCCATGTACTTTCTCCATATTTGGCTGTATGGAGTATCTTTAACAAGTCTATATGTATCACAATCAAATTAATTTGATTCAAAATTAGGTCGTTTTTTTTCCTTCGGGAAAAAGAAGGGGACTTAAGAGCTCCCAATAGGTCTCATGATTTTTATTACTCTCATCAACAAAAATTGTTAAGATACACTTGTTTCTTTGCTTAAGAGGAGTGGGTACAAGAATAACGACAATTGACCAAATAAAATGGAAAAGAAAGGGAAGTCAAAAGAAGAGGGAATGGCGGTAAATTAGACAACTAGATTTTGGTGGTTAAAACTTAATATGCTTAGAAGAAAGGCCATTCTTTTTTCCATCGTTTCTTAAAAAAAAAAAAAAACTTTCGCCGGAAAAAAAAAAAGAAAACCAAATAAGCTGGCAGTGGTGGTGGATCAAAATCGGTGCATGGCATCTTCTCACCGGTAGCTCCAGGCTTTTTTTCTCTGATCACCACCACCGCCATCACCGTCCAATTTTTTTCTTCATTTGGATGAGATTATTAATGTACTAGGTTTTTTTTTTCCCATGAAAAAGTAATTGAAATAATAATAATTAAAAAAATGCCTCATAATCATAAACCCTCCGTTGATGCTAACCTCACGGCGGTGGCAATTGATAAAGACAAGAACAGTTCATCGGCTGTGAAATGGGCAATCGAACATCTCTTGCCCTCAAATCCTACCATCATCCTGATCCATGTTAGGATCAGGCCTTCACAATCTCGTAGGTACCTCTCTCTTGTTATCTCCTAATCATCATTACCAACATTTGTCATTTTTAAGGTTCTTCATCATGCAATTGTTGTTTTTGGAACAAGATTGAATTGTCCAGGATCAATCGTTTACTCCTTCCGTTCCTAATTAGTATCCAGTTTGAATTTTTATTTTTAATTTCATTTGTATTAAAACTGAACTAGATAATAATTTTGGGATGGGAGGAATATGAAATGTTTTTCCATTGATGGATATAAATTTGATTTTTTTTTTATCTGACTACAAGATGCATTGCATTCATATTATACGCATGACTTTTGTGATTTTATACTGTACGTTGGTATTATTATCACATATACCACAATGCATCTTATTTTTATGCCATCTGCATTATTAATGTAGAGAGTTTTGGGGGAGATATTGGATTATGCGATGCTGATATGCAACAGCTTTTCAAGGCGTCTCGAGTTTATTGTGCTCGTAAAGGGGTACGTAATGTTTGAGTTAACAAAGATTTTCATTTGATGTCTCCTTCCGGTCCTTAATATAAGGCATTTTGATTTGTGCTAAGTTTCATCTAGTATGTATTTTTAATCGAAGAAAAAACTTTAAAAATATATTTTCACATTCGTTATATTCTCTTAATTTTTAGGAAGTATTTTTAAGGTTTTTTCGTCAATTTAAAATACGTATTAGGTGAAACATAGAACAAATGAAAATGTCTTATATTAAGAACCATAGAGACAAGATGTTTAAAAGGATGAAAGCACAAGGCAATGCCAATTGTGTTACAGTAGTTATGATTGTGAAAATTTTTCGATTGCATATCTTAAATGTTAAATGAGATTGAGATTACTGATGGATTTTTATTTTTATTTTTTTGGGGAGAACTCCAGATAAGAGTGCAAGAAGTAACATTAGAGGATACTGATGTTTCCAGAGCAATCCTGGACTTCATCTCAGAGAATAATGTTAAGAATATTGTTCTTGGTGCTTCCTCAAGGAATCCAATTGCAAGGTCTTATTCTTTTTTTCTTCAGCTCATGGAGATGCAAAGAAAATTATGAAGAGTTCTTTATTTTTTTGTTTCTATTCATTTAATGTTCTAGTGATGCAGGAAGTTTTGGTCTCTTGATGTGCCAACCATAGTCAACAAGGCTGCCCCAGAGTTCTGCTCCGTTTATGTAATTGCCAAAGGAAAGACACAATCTTATCGGCCAGCAGCAAGATTCTCATACAGTTCTGTAACTCCACCAAGTTCTGTAACTCCTAAACAACAATCTCCACGAAATCAATCGCCTAATCGCTATAAGCCAGGCGATGTTTCAAGGTAATAATAGACGTAGTGTAATGCTCATCATTTGATCTTATTTAGTTAAGCTAGGAAGTTCTCTTCAATGTGTTAGTATTTGGTGAATCCCTTGTCCTTACAAATTCACTTTATATATATATATATCTAGATCATCTGCCTCAGTTCACAATTCATTGAAACAAGGTGCCACCATGGTTAACGTAGTTGATCTTACAAATGCTGAATATTAGTGTACTATTTTTTTCCAGCATTGTAGTCCCTTAATTATGTGATTAGCAATTTTCATTCTATGGCAGGGAATCAAGCAAGAGCATCGACCAAAAGGGCGTGGGATCTGCAAAGGTGTGGCCAAGGATTGTTTCTGCAGCTGAATCCATGGAAAATTACGACATTTCTTTCGTTGCTCCCAAAAACTATTCTAGCCGTGATAGCTATGGTGAAAGTGATTTCTCTGCATCACTTCACTTTGGGAGATCAATGGATTCCAAGAATTCACACACGCTGGAATCTACCTCCGATGGAAGCTCTACGTCGTCGTCTTCAGTGAGTGACCTCTATGTTTGCTTCTAAGTTTGAAGATAGGCCTTTTTCCACTGTGTATTGGATATCATCAGTTCATGGAATGATGACCTTTGCTAAAATTCCTCTTAATGGCAGCTTGAAGATGAAATGAACAAACTAAAGCGCGAGCTTCAGCAAACCTTGGACATGTATAACTCAGTTTGCAAGGAAGCAGTCTCAGCTCAACATAAGGTATTGCCAGTTTGCCATACAAATATATGTGCATTTTCTTCTGTAAGATAATGCTTTTGAAAATGAGGATGCAAGTTTATGATAAGAAGAAAGAAGTGATTATATATGTTATAGAGAAGCTATTGGAAACATCTGAATTGGTTCTATAAAAACTTTGAAGTTCAAATGTTCCACGACAAATCTTCAAGTAAAAGACTTCTCTCTGTCTTCCTGTGTTTTAGAGTGAAAGTAAATCTTCTTTGGGAGGAAAAAGATGAATCATTAATAATACTCTCTCCGGCCTAAATGATTGTTCTTCTTGTTGTACTAGAACATAATAATTCAATAAACAGGACAAACATTTCGGGACAGAGGGAGTAAATGGATAAATAGTAATACTCTTCACAAGAAGCAGAAAGTTAGGCTTTCTGATTGATCAGGATTTCCAGCACTAGTCTGTCATTATATGACCTACAAAACTCTAGATGTTTGTCAAGGGTTCACTTTTAAAATCACTCCAGGAACTGAGAGATAATTTAATTTTCTTTTTTTGTCTCGATTTTTCTAAGCATTTATTCATCATACTTCAGGCTAGAGAGATCGATCAATGGAAATCAGACGAAAATCAGAAGATAGAGCAATCCCGGCTTGCTGAAGAAGCAGCTCTTGCACTTGTCGAGATGGAAAAGGCCAAAAGTAAAGCTGCCATTGAAGCGGCTGAGAAGGCTCAGAAATTAGCTGAGATCGAAGCACGGAGAAGGAAGCAGGCAGAGGAAAAGGCCAAGTACGCTGCAGAAGAAAAGAATAGAGCACTGACTGTTATGTCACGAAATGATTCGAGGTACAGAAAATACACCATTGAGGAAATAGAGATAGCCACCAACAAGTTTGCACAGACATCGAAAATTGGGGAAGGTGGTTATGGACCTGTTTACAAAGGTAAACTTGATCATACCCCTGTGGCAATAAAGATTCTCAGATCAGATGCAGCACAAGGGATGAAACAATTCCAACAAGAGGCAAGTTATCGCTTTTCTGAAATATTTTCTATCTGCTCTGCATCAAACTTAGGTTGTTGCCATAGGGTATAAAATGAACATTGCTAGCAACACGTTATAACTCCTGTTGAAAGATCATCATGGTAGACTGGATAACTTTGAGTCCCTTGTTCGATATGTGATTCAAAATCAAGAAAATAAGGAAGAGGAAATTATGCTTTGAAGAGGATTGGCTCACGAACTAAAACAAAACTGTGATATAATGATATTTGAATCTAGGTATTTGTATAAGTAGCTTAATCATTCACTTGTTCTTGGCTTTAGAAAATTATTCATCTTCAATCCAATCTGAACTGGTGATGCTGTAAATGATCAACAGATAGAGGTTTTAAGCTGCATAAGACACCCAAACATGGTTCTCCTGTTGGGTGCATGTCCTGAATATGGATGTCTGGTGTATGAATTCATGAACAACGGCAGTTTGGAAGACAGGTTATTTCGCAAAGGAAACAGTCCACCTATACCATGGGCAATTCGGTTCAGAATAGCATCTGATATCGCCACGGGGCTTCTTTTTCTTCATCAGGCGAAACCTGAGCCGCTTGTGCACCGGGATCTCAAGCCGGCCAACATTCTCTTAGATAACAATTTTGTTTGCAAAATCAGCGATGTTGGTTTAGCGCGTTTGGTTCCACCAACGGTGGCTGATACTGTAACACAATATCACATGACTTCAGCTGCAGGGACATTTTGTTACATAGATCCTGAATATCAACATACGGGTAAATTAGGGACAAAATCTGATATATACTCGCTGGGAGTAATGCTGCTCCAGATTCTCACCGCAAGGCCTCCAATGGGACTTACTCATCACGTCGAGAAAGCCATAAACAGAGGAACATTCGGAGATTTGCTGGATCCAACAGTGCCTGATTGGCCTATTGAAGAGGCTCTTGGCTTAGCGAAACTAGCAATGCAATGCGCGGAGCTAAGAAAGAAGGATAGACCATCTCTTAGTTCAGTCATTCTTCCAGAGCTGAATCGGCTAAAAGAACTCGGTAGGAGCGTTACGGGTAACTAATGCTTTGCATGGAGCTTTCTTGCACGCTGCTCAAATTAGATCTCACTCGTAATTTGTTTTTTACTTACAAAAATTGATTTGTATACTAGAAGGAAGTGCGGGAGTTTGATATGACTGCTGGAATATGGTGTTGTAAAAGTTAGGAGCTGTCGAAATTTGTGGGGTTGTATGTAATTCTGGAGGATTGATTATATTGATGATTGTTGGCATTTGATGGTGTTGATGCGTACAAAACATCTCAATTGGAAAAAATGGCGGATCTACCCAAACCTTTACATGCGTCGTCAACCATATTCTTTTTCGATTAGCTAATATTATCCTAAACTATCTAACCGTTAGCCGATTTTATCCAATTTGCTATTTTTCGTCTAAATTAACGGAATTCTATTTATTTTAATTATAAAAATACTCTAATAGTTTTAAAAATTTATAAAAATGACCCCAAAAATTTGCAAAAATTATAAAATAGTCTCTTTTCAGTTTTTATTTAAACTTTTCTGTTTTTTATTTCTTTTTACTATTTTTCATAACTATAAAAATATACTATGTGATCTTAAAAAATAAAATAAAAAAATCTACTCCAATACTGGACTCCACCTTATTTTTGCTTGAAAAAGAATTAGATTTCTCCAGTGAGAATCGAACCTCAAACACAGTTTTAATCATCTCATATCTTAAATCACCTGACCATCCAATTCAACCCTCTTACCTTTAGTGGACCCTGCTTAAACGTGGGTAAAATCACTCTCCCGGTTAGAAATCCTTTCGTAACAATTAATCTTATATCTACTCTCATGAAACTTAACACCCTAAATACTAGACAGTACCCTATATTTTAATTTAATAATTTTTTTAATTAGATAATACAATCTATAGTCTATTTAGTTAATTTGCAATAAATTAAAATGTACTAATATATATATTTTTAATCTATGCTAAATGTTTTAATTTTTTGTAAAAAATTAGTTTTAGTCAAAAAAATCTTATTCTTTAAATTAACAAAGACGGATTCAAAAAACAATATCATTATTGTCTAGCATATTAATTGATATCATTTTAATATTATGGCTAGACAATAATGATATTATTTTTTTAATCCGTCTTTTTTAATTTAAAGAATAAGATTTTTTTACTAAAACTAATTTTTACAAAAAATTAAAACATTTAGCATAGATTAAAAAAATATATATTAGTACATTTTAATTTATTGTAAATTAACTAAACAGACTATAGATTGTATTATCTAATTAAAAATTATTAAATTAAAATATAGGGTACTGTCTAGTGTTTAGGGTGTTAAGTTTCATGAGAGTAGATATAAGATTAATTGTTACGAAAGGATTGCTAACTGGAAAAGTGATTTTACCCACGTTTAAGCGGGGTCTACTAAAGGTAAGAGGGTTGAATTGGATGGTCAGGTGATTTAAGATATGAGATGATTAAAACTGTGTTCGAGGTTCGATTCTCACTAGAGAAATCTAAATTTTTTTTATGCAAAAAAAAGGTGGAGTCCAGTATTGGAGTGTATATATATATATATATATATATTTTAATAAAAGACTTCTTGCTAAAGTTAGATATATTAATGTCTCAAAACATTATCACAAAATGTTAAACCCTCGCAGTAATAAATATACATATTTTTTATAGAATATTTTGTACCATTTTTGTAAATGCTACGACACTATATATTCTTGTGTTGGGCCAACGTAGAAACGAAATAGGTATTTTTTTTTTACTTTATGTTCGTACTCGGCCTTTTAAAGAATATTTATATTTCAGTTTTGATTACTTTTTAAATTTTATAATACAATCTAAAGTCTGTTGAATTAAATTGTAATACATTAAAGTATACCAATAGATTTTCTTTTAATCTATGTGAACTGTTTAATTTTTTTTGTGCAAAATTAGTATTAGTTAAATAATCTTATTCTTTAGGGTGGGAGGGTTGGGTGGGATGGTTAGGGGATTAGGATGGGGGATGGTTATTACCGGGAGGTCGAGGGTTCGATTCTTGCTGGGGCCATCCAATTAAAAAAAAAAACTTATTCTTTAGATTAAAAAAATAGATTAAAAAATAGTATCATTATTGTAAAACCATATTATTAAAAAATTAATATGCTTATGTAAATCAAACATGACTTACAAATATGTAATTAAAAATTTGTACATTAAAGTTTAAAAATAAATATATTTTTTAAGATCGTATAGTATATTTTTATAGTTATGAAAAATAGTAAAAAGAAATAAAAAAACAGAAAATTTTAAATAAAAACTGAAAAGAGACTATTTTATAATTTTTGTAAATTTTTGTAGTCATTTTTATAAATTTTTAAAACTATTAGGGTATTTTTGCAATTAAAATAAATAGAATTTCGTCAATTTAGACGGAAAATAGCAAATTGGACAAAATCAGCTAACGGTTGGATAGTTTAGGGTAATATTGGCTAACCGAAAAAGAATAGGGTAGAATTGACGACGCATGTAAAGCTTTGGGTAAATCCGCCATTTTTTCGTATCTCAATTTAATTAATGACTTGTTGAAACTTGAAACCAGTTAAAACAAATGGAATATTGGTGGATGTATCCCAACGTTTAATCTCTGCTAGCCAATTCATCCCAAATTTTTAAAATTGTGTGATTATATCCTAAAGTTTTTAAAATTAAGCGCAACCATCCCATGACCTGAAACAATACAAAATTAACCTGGTACAACAGGTAAAAATTATTATTTTCTCTTTCTTGCTCTCCCTCTCTCTTAATTTTTAATATTTTTTAATAAAAATTTTTCAAATCTGATTATGACCTTATTATGAAAAAGCAATTGATTTTTTTTAATCTTTTTCTTTCTTTTTTAATATCTAAATAATGCATGGTGGATTTTGATTCCACCTGTTTCAAACATAAATTGAAACCGTTACCTATGTTTGGATCTTTTTTCATTGTGTGTTTTTAGGTATATTTTGTATTGAGATTGTAAAAAGGTGTATTAAAAATGTTAAAGATATGCTGAAATTGGACATTAATTAATAAACTATTATGAAAAAACCATAAAAAAGTTCCAAACAAATTGAAAATCGAGTGTTTTGTTCAGTAACGATAACGGTATTAGGAGAGATGAGGCGATGAAATGACATAATTAACCAGACTAAAATAAAATTAAAAAAATTTAAAAAAATAATTGGCAAAAGAAATAAATACCAAACTAAGTAAAATTTATAAAATTAAGTAAAATTTATCTGTTACTCCAGGTTAACAACAGGTCATGGGATAGTTGCACTCAATTTTACAAACCTTGGGATATAATCACTTAATTTTAAAAGTTTGGAATGAATTGGCTAGTAGAGGCTAAACGTTAAGATATATCCGCTAATATTCCCTACAAATACTGTAAAACCTTGCTTTCCAATAATGCGGTTGAGAACTTCCAAAGATACAAATTTAAATTTTAAAATTTTCAACTATACTTTACTAAACAAGAATTAGAGACATGGAGCGACAACCGGTGTTTGTGAAGAAATCAAAATACACACATATGAAAAACTGACGAAATGATTTTACATTTTTTCAATTACTCTTTCACTGAAAATGAAAATTCATACTGGTCATATTTTGAAACGGTATCTGTGTGTTGATGATAGGATAACCTTGAATCTCTGCTGCCACAGACCGCGCAAATTCTTTGCTCTGACTTGAAGATCAGAAGGTGTCAATAAGGAAAAGTCCTCCATCATAAGAAAAGCACAACCAAAACCAAAAGCAGATTGTATATACAAAGTGAAGTGCATCATGGATTGTGTCTCGAGAAAGGCATATTATAAAAGGATAGATTACTCGTGATTAAAACTAAACCCGGCCTAAGATTCCACTTTCCAAATACAAGTATACTAAAACTTAAAAAAAACTAGTACTACAGTACTACCATTGATCCATGTTTTGAACTTTGCAGATTGTAATTTTGTCTTCCTTCTTGACTAATGTGACCATTCATCCCCTCTTTTTGTCCACTAAAATTGTCTACACATTGTGCAAATTTGTGAGGTGGGGACAATGATTCTAGATAGAAGATAAGTAGTAATATAAAATAGAAATAAAAATTTGTGCAGACATACCCAAAAATGTTTTCTTTGACTCCACCCATTGAATCTCCATAACTGAAATTAACCCTGTATCGCTAATCCCTAAGTGATGAGAAAGCTTGATGGGCAAATTGCAAATTGTCAAAGTGTCATACTGCTTTTTCATTAAGAGCCACATTTTCCCGCTTCTTTCTTGAAAAGAAGCATTAGATCAAACTTTTTAACCCATCCACACACAAACCCTCGTAACATACGAAAAGCATCTCATCTTGAAGCCTTTCACTGCCACATAAGATCTTGATTATCTGTCTCGTTTATCATGTAATTGTATAATAAATATATAACAGTGTATTATTTAAAAGTTGATCTATAATTAATATACAAAATGTAAGACAGATTATTTATTATCGATTTTTGCCTTCCTTTTTATTACTCAAGTACTCGGAGAGAAAGAAGCATTATAAATAGTGGAGTCCTATCGATCAAGACCAATGCTTTAGTCATATTACTCTTCTCCAACTTTTGAACTTGCCATCCAAATTCCAATGATGAAAAATGCCAAGATTCTTTCAATCATCGCACGTTATAAATGGCGCTTGTTAATTTCTTTGCTCATTTTTGTTGCTCAAGTCAAATGTGACGATGATACAGAAATTCCGCCGGAGACGACAACCACGACTCCGTCATCGTCGTCATCGTCGTCATCATCACCGGGTTTGCTCTGCATAAGCGAATGTGCAACATGTCCCGTCATTTGTTCGCCGCCACCTTCGCCGGCGAACTCAAAACCCCCGCCGTCCCCTTTCCTTCCTCCTTCCCCATCACTGACTAAGCCGTCGCCGCTGCCTCCATCGCCGCCAGTTCACTACTACTCACCTTCATATCCGTATCTCCACGCGCCGCCGCCTTCGTTGTTCCCGGAGCCGTTGCCCCCCGTATCTTCTTCCCCGCCGCCACCTCCAACACCCAAAAAACAACCACCGCCAACGCCGTCTTATGTTTCATCGGGAAGTGGCTCACCTCCTCCACCGCGCATGATCTACAGCGGCGGAGACGGCAGCGGAGGCGGGAATGTTCCATCAATTCAGCAGGTGCCTCCTGCGATGGGACAGAGGAATTACACTTATCCTTACTACTATTTCTATGCTTCAAATTCGGGGTCACGTTTTATGTTACCGGGTTCATCCATTTTGGTACCTTTGCTGGCTATTTACGCCTTCTACATTTCTTAATAGTCGCCATTGTTATGCTAGAAAGGAAATGCTTATGTAACACTACATTCAAATATCTAGGTAGAAATTGTTGGCGTACATGTAAATTGCAATATGATCTTTCAGTGTGTTCATTCACTAGCTTCTGGTTTTTCTTATTTATTATTCGTTGAATTTTTAGCACGATTAATTGTACTTATCAAATAAAATTGATATAGAAATGCTATTTTTTTGTGCGTTCCAAGCTACTTTTTTTTTTTGGCACAAGGAAGGAAGCAAAAGACTAAAGAAAAAAAAAATTAACACATTTCGTATATAGAAAACACATATTTTGTCGTGTTCCAACCATAATTTTAATCCCTGACAGAGGTTCATCTAGCTGCTGCAAGCCACTCAAGAAGCAGCTAATGAAGTCGTGTAATTACAAGCTACTTCAAATAATCATTTAAGCCAACGTTAATCCTATAACTTTACCTCCCTTAACAACAAAAAAAATAAATTAATTAAGTTCAATGGACGAAGTAACTCATGATTTATTAAACGTTTTTTTTTATTTCGATTGTATATATACCTTTAATAGTTTTATACTCTATTTGTCTCGAAATTATTGTCTAATTTAGTTTTTTATTTTTATTTAACAAGAAAAGAGTATTCTAATCGATCGCCCATATACTTATTTTGGATTATTGAAAAAAAAAGTTTAGAATTATTGTGATAAAAGTTTCTCCCACTAGCTCGAAATTATTGTCCAGTTTATATTAAAAATAAAAATCTAAACTGGACAATAATTTCGGGACAGAGGGAATAACTTTTATCACAATAATTCAGTTTTTTTTTTCTTCCAATAATTCAAAGTAAGGTGGAGTGATTTTGAATGTATATTGGTGATCGATTAGAATGCTCTTTTTGTGTTAAACTGTGTGGCCTGAAGGCTGAAGCCTTGAATAGCTTCGCACATAACATAACTACATTTTGGTTTTATTTTTTTTATTTTTTTTTACCACCAATAAATTGATTTATTTTGAATTAAATTGAATTTATCCCCCTTTTTTCGCAGGTTTCTCTTGTTAAGTTAATTGTACCAAAGAAAAATAAACAAACAAATTAAGGCGGGTGAAGTTTGGAGGCCAAAAACTAATTTACTAAAACTTGTGGGGAGCCATTCTGAGAATTCTCCAAACTAATAACTTCAGAAAGCGGGTTTTAACGATAGAACTGCGAAACACAGTCCCAGATCTCTTGCCAGATTTACTGGCGGCATTAATCTTCATCCGCCAAATTTTGAGACTTCCTTCCTACTTCACCGTACCGAATACCAGATCGGAACCCTAATCGAGAGTTCCGATTCCAATCCAATTCCGCCAGGTTGCCCAAATCGAATACCGACAATGGAATCGTCTGATATTCAATCAGACGATACTGCATCACCGGTCGCCAGTCTACTCCCACTCGCTTCCGCCTCACAGCAGCCATACGTCTCTGAACTCCTCTCTTTCACCCTCGATCGCCTCCACAAGGTTTCCCCCCTCTTCCTAATACTTTTGATGGTAATGCGTGAACAATCACAATGTGATCCCAATTTATATAATTGTTTGTTAATCAGGAGCCGGAGCTGTTGAGAGTCGATGCTGAAAGAATACGGCGGCAGATGCAAGAGGTGGCGGTGGCCAACTACCGCGCTTTCATCTCTTCAGCTGATGCATTGCTTTCTATGAAAGAAGAAGTTTCTTCAATTGATAAACACCTTGAGTCTTTGGTAATTTTACCATCTTTAGATTTAATTTTATTCTCCGCCTAGTTCACGTCTTTACATTCCCTTTACATATCATCCGCTGCTAATTTTTGTTCTTGGTTGTTGTAAGTCGCTTATTGTTAACTTTTAAGTTCAGCAACCTGAGAATGGAATTTTTTTTTTATTATTTTTTTTTTTGGGTTGACTTTGAGGAGAATTGAATTTGTAAGGTAATATTGAGTAGTACACTAATTGAGTTTGGTGATTTGTTTAGTAGAGTTAGGTTGCATAATGTGACTCTTAAGTAATTTGTAGGAGTCCTGACGGAAAAATATGTAATGTTGAATTGCTAATGTCATATAAAGGAGTAGGCAGAAGGTACTATTTGAACTTTAGGCAGAAGGTTTTAATGAGCATGAAGATTGGGGGCTACCCTTGCCCTCCTGGACATAGGAACTGGTCTCTGCTCGAATTTCTTTAGTTTTCTGATGGAAAGTGCAGAAGGAAAAAGGCAGATGACTAGGGGAAGGGGAGGGGATGACGTGGGATTATTCTTGATTGGAATTAAATCATTTCTTGAAGAGCGAATAAGTTTGCTCTACAACCATTAAGACAGTCTAGATACTGATATATGTAGTCAAAGAGATTTCATTATCTCTCTCCATCTGAATCTTGTGAACTCCAACTCCTTGTTCACGGTTAAATGTGATATAGCCTCAGATTAGCGTTATTCTCCACAAAATGTATGCTACTTGAACTCGGTTTTGATTGAATACATGTATGTATATTGGTTTTGGTAAGACCAAGCTGCACATGCCATATATAAATTTATCTGTCTATCTTGTTTGTCAGATAACAGAAATACCAAAATTAACTTCTGGTTGCTCGGAGTTTGTGGACTCTGCGGAGCAGATTCTGGAGAAGAGGAGAAAGAATCAAATTCTTCTGGCAAACCATAGTACTTTGCTGGATTTGCTTGAAATTCCTCAACTTATGGATACGTATGTCTTTTGGCAATGTTGTAAGAATCACATGCTAAATTAAAAGGATCTGAATAACGAATATACTGGTTATATTCCACTATGCGAATTGCTTTTGTATTTTGTGGAAATGCTTTTGGGGTTAATAGAGGGATGAAATTATTATATGTTTATTCCATAATGATACAAGGAAAACCACAGAATTGGGGAGATAGAGAATGTGATTGCTTAATGCTTCTTTATGTAACATGATTCTGTTAGTCACGGATTATGTTTCCTTCGAAAAAGTGATCGTTCTTTTGTCTGAACTGAAACTTTGGAGTTTTACTAGATTTCAATTCTAGGAATCTAAAATCAGTTTTTTATTTGATGAAAACATTTCAAATTTGAACCTTAAGGAAGCATTTAAATGCGCTTTTCTTAATCGCTGAAGAATTACCCCGGCTGTTCGCCCTGTGATGTTGAAAGAATCTATGCGCACTTGTTCTTGTTAATTTCTTAAACATGTTACAGCATGGAGCTTAGTGAGTAATTATTTCATCAAATAAAATAAACAAAGGAAGAATATTGTGATTCATTGTACAAATAGTATTCACCAAAATAACATTGGAAATAGATACTCGTGTAGATGTTTATTGCTTGTTTGATTTTTGTTATTCCTTCAGTTCTCTTTTTCCAGTCAGGGTAGAGGGAGAGGGGAAGGTTGAGGTGATTATTTGCTTCCGGACATGCATGTTTACCTATTCTTTATTTTACTATTATCTGCTTTACTACCTTTTTTAGATGAAGTTGAAACATCTTCATAGAACCCCATGCATTTGGGAGCTTATATGTACCAAGCTGCCTTTTTTAAAGTATCTTTCTATCATTTGTAGATGTGTACGTAATGGAAATTATGATGAAGCGCTCGACCTAGAAGCATATGTTGCTAAATTATCGGCAATGCACCCTAAGTAAGTTACTTTTCGTACCTCATCCTTTATGACAATTTTTTTAAACTGTTAACTTTGTTGATTAAATTCCTTTTTTTTTTTTTTTTGGTTCATTATTAACTCTATTAAAATAGATTACCAGTTATTCAGGCATTAGCTGCTGAAGTTCGGAAGACTACCCAATCTCTATTATCTCAACTCCTGCAAAAACTGAGGTCAAATATTCAGGTGCTATGATAATTAGTATAATGTTTGTGTGAATCAAACTCACTTGTAAAAGAAAATGGGGTTCTGAAAATGGATGTGGGCTTTTGTTGCTTTCTCTCAGGTGCCAGAGTGTCTCCGCATAATTGGGTACTTGCGGCGAATAGGAGTATATAGCGAGTATGAAATGCGACTCCAGGTAAGCTAATTGTGCCTGTGTACAACTTGTTAGATCCGTCCTTATGCCTTCTCAATGTCTCGCTTTTTTGTTTGGTTTAGGTTGATTAACTTTATCAGCTTTTGTGATTTCTCAGTTCTTAAGATGCCGTGAGACTTGGCTAAATGGAATCCTTGACGAATTAGACCAGAGAAATGCTTATGAGTATGTAAGGGGGATGATAAGTTGCCACAGAACACATCTTTTTGATGTTGTTACCCAGTACCGGTCCACATTTGCTGATCTTACATCAGAAAGTGAAGAAAACCATGATGGCGGACTTCTCTTTAGTTGGGCCATGCATCAAATTTCCTTCCAGCTTAAAACTCTGAAGATCATGCTACCGAAGATAACTGAAGGAACAGCTTTATCCAATACTCTGGAAACGTGCATGGTGAGTTGCATCATTGCCTAGCCAGAAGTAACAAAGTTTGAAGTTGAAGTGCAAAAAGGGGGTTATGATAACATGATTATTACTTTTCCCCTGTGTTTGTCATGAGAATTTCATTTACTGTTTTCATACACTTCATTTACCTAAGTTCCAGTTTTTACTTCAATGATGATGTTCCATAGTCTTCTATTCTCACAGTATAATGCTATGGGACTTGGTGGAGTTGGATTGGATTTCCGTGGCTTACTTCCACCGCTTTTTGAAGAGTAATATTCTTTTTTTCTTTTGGGGTGTATTTTTCATATGTTTCCATGTACCACATCAAGCAGGGCCTAACTTCGTCCATCTCAATTTGGTCAATGGAGCAGGGCTGTTCTTAATTTATTCTCAAAAAACATGAACACTGCTGTTCAGCATTTTCAGGTATTTTGTTTTCTTGTGTGGATTGTCCAGAAGTATGAATTATGGAAAGTATACTGTGCTCATTTCTGCAGTATCTGATTATTCAATGTGCTCTTTCAACTCAATCCAGCTAGTTCTGGAATCTCATCGCTGGGTCCCGCTACCAGGCTTCCCTCCCAGCTCTAGTGGAGAAGAAACACGGGATGATATCACTCCTCCGTCAAATCTGATGGACCATCCACCACTAGCAGTGTTTATTAATGGTACTTACTTTGCAACCTTTAACGTGTCATACTTTTCTTTGTGTCACAGCTTGGCCTTTTCGTGATCTGGTTTCTTTTAGAATGTATTGTAGCTGTATATTTTACCCTACAAACAGGCTAAGGTTGTGGGCTGTTCTAGAGAAAAAACAGACATTTATGCTGGCAAAACTTGTGAACTATTCTCATAAGGTGCTTCACGGGCTTAGGATACTAATCTTGGTCTTTTCACTATAATATCTTATTTATATTTTGGTGATACTCTAATCTAATTGCCATTACCAGTTTAATGCAGTTGCCATTACTAATTCTATAAATGCTCGAGTTCGTTCTTGTGCTCATTTCACATTCTTTTTGCAGGTGTTTATACAGCAATGAATGAGCTACGTCCGTGTGCACCGTTAAGTTTGAAGGGGGTTCTTGCTCAAGAACTAGTTAAAGGGTTGCTTGATGTGTCCAATATGCTACTGGCATACAATACAACTCGGATGCTCAGAGATAATGAATCTGTACTCTTCCTTGCTCTTTGTAGAGCATTCCTTGAGGTTAGTCCTTAGTTTTACTTCTTGTGACATCTTCAGTGGCCTGACTCATTTAAAGACAGCGTAAACAGTGCCTTTGCATACATATCAGGTTGTTTTCCCGCACTGTGCCATGTGCTTTGGCCATTGTTACCAAGGTGGAGCCTGTTTGATCACAGATGCCAAGGGCTCGTTTGAGGGATTAAGCAGTCTGGTTGCTAAATCTCCCGCTAGAGATATACCTAAACCTCTTCCCAGTGCAGAAGCAAAGAATGTAGTAGAAAATGGCAGTCTACCTTCCTTGGAGAATGGAGCATCGGTTAATATTGAACGATCAGGGAGTGCCAACATGGCGGCACCGCCAAACAGCATATCTCCAGAAGATGTAGAAAAGATTACCAGAACATCTAGTGTATGAGTAGTTACTCGGGTTTATATACACTTGAAAGTTTAAGAAGCCCCCGCACCTGATATTGCAGTGCATATAGCCCAGGACTTAAGTCATTTCGCCCTCACCTTGGTCTCATTCTTTTTCTGGTTAGACTTTGATGCTACCAATGATAATGATATATAAGTGAATATGTTTTGACATCATGAGAGAGATTATACCATGACCTTCGGGGATTACAGTGGTGACAATTCTTTTTGTACGTAGGAGGAAAGTGCTGTAGACATGCATCGGAATGAACTATATTTGAGGGAGTTCTTTGTAACCATATTCATCTGATAGTTGAAAGGAAAACTGCTTCTTATGAATTTTTGCTCTAACACTATTATTCTAATTTATCATCATGCTGCTAAAACTTCACCGTGATACATCGCATTTTGTTTTTTTTTGAGAGTAAAAATACATCGCAGTTCAACCTTCATTCTACTTCCGATTGTTTAGGTTTTCAACTTTCGTAGTACTTTTGTGCCGGAGTGATACTTCATTTTTTGTCTTATTTTTACGATAACAGATGAAATAATTATTTTGAGATAGAGTGAGTGTTACGGTACAGCATCCAAGGTCCTTGGAGAAAATATTTTTTTGAATTGTGACAGTACCCTAATGGGTGATAAACTACCTTTGAATTTTACCGAAACGTATGCATTTTGGATTCTAAAGTTAATGATACGAGAGTATCCAAAATTATTTATTGGATGATAATGAACTTAATATATTTACATAGCATTTTGGATTCTAAAGTTAATGATACGAGAGTATCCAAAATTATTTATTGGATGATAATGAACTTAATATATTTATATGAAAGTGACGCGTCACCAAATATCTTTTCTTTGATTATTTATTAAAATTCTTTTATATATTAGTCAACAATTTTAATTACTTACATTTTATAGAGAGAGTACCATCTTTTTTCATGCCAATTACCACCATTGTTATGTGTGGGAATCAATAAGTCATGATGGAACCATTTCGTCAGTGTCAAAAATCAGTTTAGGGCAGTTGAGGATGTTCAAATGAAATGAAGTAAATTTGTCATATCGAATAAGTTTTGGATTAAAATTGTGATTCTATATAAAGTAAGGACTTATTTCGTCATCAAAGCTATAGTCTGAGGACCAGAAATATGAATATTTTCTCTTAACGACCGCCGCGGGCGCCTGAAAATCCTCTTAGACAGCAGCTTTGAACACCAATAGCAGGAAGGAAAAAACAGGAAGAACGAGGAGTTTTTATTCCATAGTTTAATTCTTCTTCTGGAAAGTTACTGAGTGGAAGTAAGTTCAATCCGTAGAATTTGGAGTCGTGTTCTTGAATTTTTGCAGGTGTTCTTCTTCGTTCAGACTTGACTTCTGCTGTGATTCTTGATTTAGTTTCCAAATTACCTTCATGATTGTACTGGTGCCTCTGTGTGTGTGTGTGTGTGTGTGTGTTTTTTTTTTTTTTTAATTCTTTAGCTTAATTGATTACTGAAAACGGTATTGCTTTGATTCTTCGAGGCTTTTATCTACATTAGTTGTGTACAATAAGGTTTTGTTTTTGTTTTTATTTTTTTTGGGTTTTCAATACCATGTTCACTGCTAAATATCTACTGAAGAGCAATTTCACTCTTGTACAGTCTTACAAACTTCCATTGTCCTCTTTAAAAATGTTGCTTTTGGGTTTTGTAGCATTTGTCTTACTGTCAATTGATAATGTTGAAACCTTAACACTGACAACAAGAATTGGTTTGGTAGACTACAAAGTGTATAATGTGTTTGATTTGAGCCACACCTATGTCACCTCTTGACTTTTATTTTGATTCATTCTCACGAACTAACAGAGACCTTTGTGATACTTAACTTTTCAAACTGATGGTTTAAAACTGTATCTCCAGCCTCTATGATGGATTCAGATTCAAAAGCCGTGCTGGAAGCACAAAAGCTGCCACAACCACAGCTTCAAATATATTCCAACTCAAATGGTGAAATCTCCCCATTCTGGAGAGGTAAACTACTTTTGTGTCTCTTAGTTTACACCAGACATTGAAAAGCAATTCAGGATTTGTCCCTTGATTATATTACCATTTTGTTGCAGAGAAGTATGAAAGAGAAGCAAAGAAGTACTGGGATATATTCTACAAACGCCATCAAGATAAAGTAAGCTTCCTAACTTGCTTCTTTTATTCCCTTTCTCTTCCATATTGCTAATTAACTTCTGCTTGAATACTCTTCATTATCGGTTTAATGCTCAACCCCTATTAGTTCGCTAGGTTCAAATCTGTTCTGCTTGGTCTTTCTTTCCCTCCCTCTCCCGCCCTTGCATACATAAACACGCGAAGCTCATATCTTGCTGATATTGTAGATTCTACTTTTCAATAGAATAATTTCTATTCTGGAGTTATTATAGTTATTCTTTGTTGTTTATTCGATAATCTGTGCTTGTTTGGGGAATCCTGGTTATGAATGAAATGAATCTTTCTGGTTTCAGATTTATTCTGCTATTTGATTTTATCCCGATATTCGTTATTTTGTCTGAATTCTCACCATGTTTATGTTTCTTTCTGTCTATTTTGGTTCAGTTTTTCAAGGATCGGCATTACTTGGACAAGGAATGGGGACAATACTTTTCTGTGAGTGGAAAGAATTCCCATTCTGGCATCATATATGCAATATTATTTGTTGCTACTACCCTCCTAATGACGAATTCCTCTCAATTTTTGCAGGGTACTGGAAAAAAAGTCATCCTAGAGGTAATTTATGTTTTAAAATTGAGTTTGTTGTTTAATTTGAATCTGTGACCTGCCCTTTTCTTCTCCTTTCTTGTTTGAGTAGTGAACTGGTTGGCTGTTTAGTTTTTACCCTGAAAATATCCGTAATTGATTCCTAGTCTATAACTCTGATCAGCTTTGCTCCATTTTATGCCTGGGACATCAGTGTTCATTTTATTGGGATTTTTTATCCCTGCTCGATGGAAATCAGAGCAAGCAATGGACAAAAAAGTTGTTCCATTCACACCGTTACTCCTATCCTTGAATATTTATGAAATGCTCCCATGCATAGATGCAGATCTATTATTCACGGCGATGAACTTATATTTTGTTTTTGCCATTTTCCGGCACTTCCCTTGCTGAATAAATCCAATCAAAACACTTTAGAATTTTTAACATATTTCAAGCATTTATTAGTTGGCGTATTGGATGCGCATCTGTCTTTTCATCAAACTCAAAATATGAATTGGAAAGATAAAAAAATCAGACGAAAGACATCATTTTATGACTGGCAGACTTATAGATTTAGAATTAGCTCTCATCCACTGAAATGATACACCCCTTAAAAGAATTGTGCCTTACGCTGGACTGTTCATTTATTTAATCCGTCCATCCTGTTGGAATTTGCACTCTTGTAATACATGATATGACATCAAATGTCAAATGTTTATTTCCCTGTGTCATGCAACTGTACTAATGCTGATTTTTCTGGTGCAAGGTTGGTTGTGGGGCTGGAAACACTATCTTTCCTTTGGCTGCGTTGTATCCAGAAATCTTTGTTCATGCATGTGATTTTTCTCCACGTGCAGTGAATTTGGTTAAGGTTAAGTTTGCCTTTCACATTGGCTTCTTGATATACGATCTTGTTGTTTTGTTGTAGTTTCTTGTTTCAGACATTGTTAATGATGTCAAAATATTTTCTGTTTGTGTTGTGTTGGGGCATGAACTTTCTGGGCCCAAGTTATAGTTAATCATCTCCACTGTTAACCTTCATCTACTTAATTCATCCACTAGGCTTGAACTAGAGATATGGACTTGTCTAACTGTCTAATCTCATATTTATAAACATTTCTTCCGATTTACATGATCTGAGATGTGTTACTGAGTGTACTTAAAATTTTGAGTTTACACGTGGGGAGTAGGTTATCAGAACTTACCTAAAAGGTAATGAAAGTAGTCAAATAGTCTGAGAGGCATGCTTTCTATCTACTTCCCGGTATTCTGATGGCAGACTTTTTGACTTACCATGAGATAGATAGTCAATCCTTGCATCTTCCCCCCTACTCACCAGATGGGAGTAATCACTCTGATGTGAATTTGTCTGAAATTTTCCATCTTGATTTTAACTGCAAACCCAGAAGGCAAAATTGACAAATGTATTGTTTCACGTATAATGCAGACACATAAGGAGTTCACTGAGTCCCGAATCAATGCTTTTGTATGTGACTTAACACTTGATGACCTGAGTGAGCGGATATCCCCGTCTTCAGTTGATGTTGTAACAATGGTAATGCTTGTCTTCCTGTCGACGTATTCCTCTTAATAAGGAGCTTAAATGGTTACTGTAACCATATTTATCTAATGCAATAAAAAGCATAACTGACAAGGTGGAGTATTTGTTGTTCTATGAACCATGTGAAATTTTAAACAGATATTTGTGCTATCTGCAGTATCCCCTGACAAGATGCAAATAGCACTACAAAATATCAGAAAAGTTCTCAAGGTATAATCGACATACCTGCTATTTGGGTTTTGCCTAACTTTATTACTTTTCACTTGCGATTAAACATTTTGTTGACATTCTTCACATATGCCTTTCAGCCAAATGGTAAACTGTTGTTTAGAGACTATGCAACGGGGGACCTTGCGCAGGTATTCCCTTTATTTTCAAGTGTTAGTATCTTACAACTTGCATGAAATTTTAGATTGCATATTGTGAACATTGGTTTCTCATCTGTTTCTGGACATCTGGGTCAAATTACCTTGTTTTGTTTACTAAACATGGATTGTACCACCAACCTGTTTGGAAAGTCGTGCTAGGTTTCATGATTTTCCAGGTTGAAGTACCGTAGTTGATAAGTGAAATTCAGTTTCATGGAGGGCCAAATAACTGGATCTGCATGATAATATAGGTTTTCATTTTCTTCAACTGCAGTTTCTTACATCTGACTAATGAAGCTTTGTGTTGACTCTTAGGAGACTTGAAAATATGAATCTATGATAAGTTGGTATCCATTACTCTACAATGGATAAATTATCCCCCATTCTAGGAAATAAATTAGGATGAACTCAAGTTCTTCATGGGGTGGGTATGTTGGGGGCATAATGTTTTGTGATAACAAACCGCGATTCTGGCTTGTAGCTGTAGGTAGGGCAGTATAATATTATTGCTTAATGTGGGCTCTGTGTTGCATGCTTTTTCATCTTTATGAATTGTTCTATGGCTTCTTGGAAAATCTCCTTATCGCTTTTATCTGTGTATGCAGGAAAGATTGTCTTGCAAGGAACAGAAGATCAGCGAAAATTTCTATGTTAGGGGCGACGGCACGGTAAGTTGTACTGATAGGACAACCCGAGATCATGCATTCATGTATTCTTCAACTTGAAACATCTTATTTCCCATGCTTTTTGTTTACTGATTTATTCACAGAGGGCTTTCTACTTCTCCGACGAGTATTTGACAAATTTATTCAGAGAAAATGGTTTTGAAACTGAAGAACATGTGTTATGCTGCAAACAAGTGGAGAACCGCTCAAGAGAGATTGTAATGAATAGGTAAGATTCCATTGCTTGTACATCATACTTTTCTGTGATCTGTCTAGATGTTCTGAGAGCATCATGCTTGACAGACTCTCATTATTGCGTGGTTTTGATTAATAGAATTCTTTCTGAATTAACCAATATAGTCCTCCAAAATGGAAATCTTTCCTAACCAAATTCCCTAGACTCGAACTTCTTCTGATGAAGAGGTTTATGCGTTTATCCCAGGCGTTGGGTCCAAGCTGTATTCCGCCTGATTGCTGATGAAACTGCAACTGATGAAAAGAGGGATAGCATTAGACCTCAGGTCAAGGATATCACTCCAAAATCTGTTTCCAATGAGCTTGAAGTGGACATGTCAGAGGGGATGGCTTCTGAAATTTTTGGAACTCTCTCTTCCAGTGATGAGGTGGAGTTTTTCACGATACAGTAATTCAATATTTCTATTCACTTTGCACCCATAAGCACTTACTCTTGACCTAGGCTTACTTGAATGTTCCGTTGGTGTAAAAATAAAAAAATAAGAAAAAGGAATGACAGATTATTGATGTCAGGTTATTGATGTTGTCAGATTGTTTAGTCAATTTACCGTGTTCCTTGGTCTTTTCAGATTATTGATGTTATTGTGAGAGATCAACGTTTCATGATAAAAATGCTTTCCAAAGAGTACCAACATACATGCAAATCAACCGGGCTGATGCTATGGGAATCGGCTCGCCTTATGGCTTCAGTTCTTGCCGCAAATCAAAGCATTGTAGCAGGGAAAAGGGTATTAGAGCTTGGATGTGGCTGTGCAGGGATTTGCTCAATGATTGCTTCTGAATCTGCGGATCTCGTGGTAGCAACTGATGGAGATGAAAAGGCACTAGACTTGTTGAATCAAAATGTTGCTTCAAATGTCAAAGCAACATCTCAGGTTAATTTAGTCATAAAGAAGCTGGAGTGGGGTAACCGAGAAGATATACAAAGCATCAAGGAGCTGAACGATAAGGGATTTGAGGTTATAATCGGCACTGATGTCACATACATCCCTGAAGCTATATCACCATTGTTTGCTACAGCTGCTGAACTAATCGCTTCTAGCCAATGTAACAAAGAAGGTCCACGAGCGGCTTTTATTCTCTGCCATGTCTTCCGCAGAGTGGATGAACCATCTCTCCTCACAGCAGCCGCACAATTTGGTTTCACATTAGTTGATAGGTGGCCTAAGCAAAACCAAACAAGCTCACCAAGTATCATTAGCAGTTGGTTTTCAGAAGATGGCAGTGAAGACAGCATTCCTACCAAGGCTCTCCATATTTTGTATTTCACCAGAAAGTGATGCAACATATTGTTGATATTTGCAAATCTCAAAATTTTTCTTTAATTTATCAAATTCCATATATGTACTCTCCAGAACAAGATGAGAGTATCATCATAGGGGTGGGAATTTAGTTCTACCATATTAGACAGCATTTTTCATTCTACAAGTCAATGCAGAACACAATAGAATATAGGGTGAGATACTGAGATTTTTTATTTTTTATTTTTAAAAGGAAAAAGCTACTGAGATTCATGCATTACAGTTTTTATTTTACAAGACCAGTGTATCTTTCATACATTTTACACAAGCTGTATCTTTCACAGTTGGCCTTTAAATCAATTACTTAAAATTTGACATCAATTATCAATCCATCTCTTTCTACAACAGAGCAAAAATAAACTGTCATGAAAGAAATTTGATTTTTTAAGGCTGATTTTTTTTTATTCTTCTGTTATAAATATTGGTCTATGATTTATGTAAACCCGAGCATAAGTTAACTGTTATACATTAAATGTTGTAAATCTGGGCATAAATTTATGTGTATTTCTGTCCTTTAAATCAATTTTTTATTCTTCTAATTTTTTTTATTCTTTTAAGAATGATTCGTATTTTTTATTTAATCAATTGAAAAATACAGGCGACACCCCAGGCATTCGCCCGGGCAAGCATCTAGTCTAGAGTTATTATCATACTTATATACCCTTTTAGTCTCATGTCATGTTTGGTTGAATCATAATGGTAAAATCTAAACAAAAGACTGCTAGCTGGGAGAAACATATGAATGACGAAGTTTTCATTCAAATTCACTAATTTTTTCTTCTTCTTCTTCTTATACTCTCTTGAATGTGAGCTAAAGTAGATCAATTAATAAATTAATCATAAGTTATATTCTTTCGCTCCTTTTTTTAATTTTGTTTTTTTAGATATGTGAAAGTTAAAATTTAATAGAAGGTATAACACAATGTGGTGTGATGTCAGAATGTCATAACTGAAGCATCATATAATTAATATGATCTATCTATTATCTCTTAAGATAGATAATGATATTGGTGGTGATGCATGCATCATCTAAATCAGGGTTTTGTTTATTTACTCAAAAAAGACACAAAAAAGAACGTATCCTTTTTTTTTTTTTTTTTCCTAGAGATGGGATCGAATCCCAGTTCAGCTCTTCATTTGCGTGATTCCCATAATATTCATCTTCCTTTCTTTTCTCCTTTTTTTTTTTTGTTTTGTTATAAATTATTTATTTATTTTGGTCTTTGGACATGAATTCAGCTGCTCAGATATATTGAAGCAGAATATAACATGTACCCCCCGAAAACTTTTCCCGTAATCCCCCAATAGGTTAAGTTTTGAACGAAAGCATGCAATGACAAATATCAGCATATATCGTTTGATCACTTGTAAAAGTACGGTTCTTGCAAAAAGAAGAATGAAGAAGATGAACTGACTTCATCCCAAAGAACATATTCGAATATGGGCATGCCAAATGGATTTTCAAGATAGTGAAGAGTTTTTGAAGAATTTTTTTTTTGGGGATTGTGGATGGGGTAAAGCCACCAAGGAAAGTATACACAAAAAAAAAAAAAAAAGCATATAACAAATGTGCCACTTTGTCAAAGCAACAGCGAATAAGATAGGAGGAAAGAACATGGGGAGACCAATCAGTAAGGCCTTATGGTCTCTTAATAGCCGTTCATAGATTCACTTTGCAACAAAGATGCTTATCATCATCGTCATCAACTGAGATTTGGGAATCAGGTGGATATGGAACCCCATCTGGAACATCTATATTTTATTAAAAAAACGGAAAAGAAATCAGATCACGTTATTATTACGAGAATTAGATTTTTTTGTGACACTTTTGATATATATTTATATAAAATTCTTCATAGCTTGATGAGTATTTCTCTATTGTATAATTAATAAATTTGGAGAAATAAGTGCTTAAACATGGTTATGATTGGAAAAAAAAATGTAACACGAAAAGAGATACAGAATTAACATCATTGTCACAATGTGAAATGTAGATATCAAAAAGTGTGTAAGCAAGCAGTCTTCTCATCACCCTCCACTCTGAATGGGGAAAGTCTGGATTATTCAGAACAAATGTTAAAGAAATGTCCACTTCCATAAAGGGAAAGTTACTTTGATTTTGATCTTTGAATTTTTTTTTTCTCTTAGCCAACCCGCACCCCATGTCATTATTGCACCAACAAAAGAGTTTCTTTGCAATATTAAGAGTGTAATTAAAACATTATTATGGTACTGCTACTAAACTTGGAAGTGAAAATGATTGGACCTAGCTAATTTGCTCGATCCATGCTACTCAAAGTAGCATTCTTCAATCTTCTTTAGATGAGATCATCGATATGTATATTTATTAATGGTTAATAATTTCAAGTACAATATGTGTGCACGCATGATCAATACTTAACTCCAAACCCTGAAATACTCCAATCAAAGCCAACTACCCAACTTGACAATGAAAAGGTAAGGATTTATTGTTACAACAAAAGCTTATATTCGTTGTGGGTTGCACCACAAAACCCTAATCATGATTTATTTTTCACTCTCACCACCGTTGTACCCTTCCCAAACTATAAAGAGTGTTTCACTAATATATGACATACAGTTACTTATTGACCTTATTCATAATCAAGATACCTTTTGTTTTGATAATTTTTGCCGGTTTCATCGCCAACAAAAAATAAATAAATAAATAAATAATTCAAAAAAAACACGATATACACTTAGCGAATAAGTGTATAACAATATGTCTAGTTATGAGTTTTCTTCTCTTCTAAATACAACTTATTTTACGCCTTCTGTATCTTTCTCGGATAATTAACACCTCCAAAACGTGTTTAGTTACACAAGCAGCTGCCGCACTAAAAATTTGATAAAACAAAAAAACAGAAATCACTACTACAAAGTTAGGGTTATCATCGATCAAAGTAACTCGCACATTTATTAAACTATAGGAGAAGACATATATATGGAAGAAAAAGAATATTAAAGGGAATGATTCTTCAAGATTAATATTATCCAACTTTGAAAATTCTCTCGTCCACTGATCAATCAAACCATGATCGGTCATGCATTACAATAATCCATATTCTCAATTCAGTTTAAGCCTTTTTATGAAATCATCAACCTTTGGTTTATTTTTTCAATAAATGTTCTGGTGAGCACAAATAACAATGAGACACGAAACGTGCCGTTGAACGCCTTAATTTTTTCATCTGAATGCCCTAAAAATACGTACATGCCCCTACAAAATAAAATTACATTAGTTTTTTTTACAAAAAAAAAAAGTAAGGCGAGGGAGGAATAAGCGACCACTTTAAGGGGTAGCGTGAAATAATCTCGCCTCCCTCTAAAGGGAGGCGAGAAAACCTTCGCCGCATGGCGAAGGTGTGGCGCCCAGAAGGGCGCCACATTTGTGTTGGTTTTGCTCCCCAATTTTGTGAGCCACCCACCTTAATTACTTTTTTTTTAATTTTTTAATTTTTTATTTATTTATTTATTTATTTATTTATTTTTAATGTATTTAATTAATTTCTTTTATTTATTTTAATTATTAATTTAATGAATTTATTTACTTCATGTATTTATTTAATTTATTTATTTATTAAAGTTTATTTTTTTATTTATTTGTTCGGTGGTTAAACAGATAATTTTAACTTAAATATTTGGAGAATATTGCTTAATTACGTAGTAAATTTTTATAAAAATTTATCATTTAGTTATGTAAAATTTTTTAAAGGTAAATAAAAAATTATCATTTAATAAAAACTAAAACTTATGAATTTACTACCAAACAAATTAATTATTTATCATCGATGCATCTAGCCATCCTGAAAATATTTTTTTGGAAAAAAATATAAATATAAAATACGTTGAAACGAAAAATTAAAAAGCATGGAAAAAATATAAAATACTTCTATTTATTTATATAATTTTTAATATTTTTTCTTCTTTTTTAAAAGAAGATTAATAGTGGTTTCCCATTTACCCCCTATGTGACTCAAACTCGTGACCTATTGGTCAAAGGTGAAATGTCTTATCTCTAGACCGCACCTCGTTGTCATTTAATTTATACTATTACAAAGTCAAATATTTAAGTTAAAATTATTTGTTCAACCGCCAAATAAATAACTAAAAAATAAACTTAAATAAATAAATGAATTAAATAATTAATTAAATAAATAAATTAAAAAATAGAAAAAATTAAAAAAAATAAAAAAAAAGTAATTTCGGTCTTCTCGCCAAACCGAGGGGGGTGGCGCCAGATTTGTGCGCCACCCCCATTTTGGACAGCAAAATTTTTCTCGAAATTGGCGCCACCTTGCTGGCGCAAATGTCCTTCGACAGTGTATTTTTTTTAAAAAAATAATAATAATAAAGGTAAAATGGTCAAAATATAATTTTTTAGGGCGTTCAAATGAAAAAATTAGGACACTCAACGTGTTCCCAGAATTAGTTGTCAAATCATATACACATGACATTGATCTCTTGACCTGCCCCCCATATGATGGATGCACGGTACTTACGTTACCCCCATGCAGCATAAATTTATTTATTAATAAACAAAAAAAAATACTACTTGATTACTAATATATAATACACTAATAATATTCTCCAACATGTCCACAAGGAACGTGATTAAGGTTTTTCTTTGTGGGTTATTAACAGCTTGAATTAAATAATGGACTTATACTCAAATCACTATGTAAGTATCATCAGACATCAGATTGAACTCAGCAGGTAAATAGGCGCTTTTTTTTGATATAAATTAATATATTTTCATTATTTTAATTAATTAATTGATTGGACATTTGTCGTTGATTTGTTAGATAAGTATAGTTTAAAGAAAGCAGATATACTTTAAGCTGCTTTAGGCTTTAGCGCCGTAGAAGATCTTTGGCGTGGGTGCTCGGGGTTGAGCCCTTGTTCAACTTTTATTGGTTCAGCTATTTCCTTTGATATTTTTTAATATTATCATATATCAA